CCTCTACTCTCAACTCCACGACCACCGATGTCCTGACAGCCTGCCTGTCCGACATCGAGTCCTGGACGAGAGACAACTTTCTTCAGCTCAACGTGCGAAAAACCGAGGCCCTCCTGATTGGCTCACGTCAGCGCCTCCGCACCTCAGGCGCTGACACCATCAGCATCCAAGGCTGCACTCTCCACCTCTCAAAGCCAGTCAGGAACCTCGGCGTTTTGTTCGACCCTGAGCTGTCCTTTCTCCCTCACATCCGCACCACAACTGGCACCGCCTTCCATCACCTCCGGAATATCGCCAGATTACGGCACTACCTCACCCCTCACGCTGCTGAAACCCTGGTTCACGCCTTTGTCACCTCAAGGCTGGACTATGGGAACTCTCTCCTCGCCGGCCTTCCCGGCACCTCCCTCCACAAGCTGCAGGTCATTCAGAACTCTGCAGCTCGTGTACTGTCCCGCACCAGGCTTCGGGACCACATCACTCCTACCCTCGCTCGCCTCCACTGGCTCCCCATCCCCCAGAGGATTGATTTCAAGATCCTCATCCTCACCTACAAGGCCATTCACGGCCTTGCTCCCTCCTACCTCTCCAACCTACTATCCCCCTACCTACCTGCCCGTAACCTCCGTTCCTCTGGCTCCGGTCTGCTCCACGTCCCCCGCCCCAACCGCCCTACTATCGGTGGTCGGGCCTTCAGCCTCTCAGCCCCGAGGCTCTGGAACTCCATCCCCCAGTGCCTTCGCCTTGCTTCCTCCCTTTCCTCCTTCAAGGCCGGTCTCAAAACCTTTCTCTTTGACCGTGCCTTCAGCTCCCCTCTCGACTCTCTTCCTCCTCCTCGCTCCCTCCCTTCCCTCCCCTCACCCTGACCATTTCCCCCTCCTCTCTCCCTCCCTTCCCTCCCCTCACCCTGACCATTTCCCCCCTGCTCGGGTCATGACCCAACTGTGCAGCGCCTTGGGACGTCCTCCTGACGTGAAAGGCGCTCTATAAATGGAATCTTGTTGTTGTTGTTGTTGTTGTTCAGACTTCCAGGAGAGAAGACGTTGACGGGAGCCAATGATTATGGCTTCTGTCTTGCCAACATTCAGCTGCAGGAAATTTGTGCTTATTCCATTTTTTGGGGGCTATTTCATATATCGAGTGCACTGAGAGGCAAAGGAAATGTTGCAATCTCTCGTTTCACTTGAGGTTCTCTAATTTGCTGGGCTTGTAATAATAATTCTAATAATAATAATCCTTGCATTTGATATACTGCTTATAATGTTAAAATGTTTCAAAGTGCTTCACAGGTAATTGCTCTCAAGTTTAGAGACTGTGTCTTGGCAGGTAAACATGGCAGCCAATTTCCACACAGCATCCACCCATGAAGTGATTGATCAATTGATCTTGATGTTGTTAGCCAAGTTATTGAAAATCAATAATCTATTTCCAAACAGTTATCCACACTTCCTATCAACAACAAATTACATTTGTATAGTGCTTTTTATATCTGGACATTTAACATTGCGTTAACATTACAATAAAATCGCAAGGACCTGAATTTTCTTCCCTCTCAATCATCTTTTCTCCAATGAAACGTATTGCTTTTCGAGATGCTTTTGATGATAGTCTTAAATCCTGGAATCATTCTCACACTTTCTGAACTCTCACAATAATGGGATGCAAATACATTATAATAATTAAAAACGTGATTTCTGCCCATGTAAAGAGATGATACTCTTGCTGGAGAAAGACTTCTGACAACAAAGTCTATGTTGAGAAAAAATTGCCTATCTGGAAAAATCTTTATATCTAGAAAAGTAAGAGAAAGCTGAATCAGATTCTATATAGAGCAGACTTTAAAAGGGGCAGAGATCTCCTCTCAAGTGGATAGGTGACCAATCCAGCATATGTGAAATGGAGCAACATTTTATTTTAACAAAGGAAAGAACAAAGGATAATATTAATGTTAGTTTCTACTTTATTGGAATATTCTGCACTATATTGTATGGTAGATGTAAAGAATGTGGAGATGGCACTCACTGACAGATGAGCCCAACATTTATGTGGAAACAACAACCTAGCAGTAAGAAGAAAATTGGTTGTTTAGTCGATTGGTGAATTACTATTCCAGGGGTAATAATTCCTTAAAAAAATTTTTTTTAAAATTGGTCACTTCAATCCACGACTGTTTGTGGGCACTGCTGTGCACAAAGGCTGCCGCGTTTCACCACAAAATATACAGCCAATTCACTTTACAGTATTTTCTGTGAAGCGCTTTGAGACGTCTCGAAGGTGTGATAAGGCACTATATCAAGGATTATTGTTATTATTAAGAAAAATCAGGTCACCCCTTAGCAACAAGTTAAAGAGTCTTAATTAAAGAGTTTGTTTCTGCAGAATGGTATACAATACAGGTAGTGGTGCAGGGAGGGGATTGCAATTAGGGGACAAAACAATAAGAGTCAGAGGTTAGATATAAATAAAACATAAGAGAAACAGCAGAGAATTCATGACAACGTGCAACAATCTGCCTTGGTACGATTTCATTTTCATTTGGTCGTGAACATTAGCAAAGTTGACATTGCAGATTGAATCAGGCTTAGCTAGTTGCCATGAGTTATTACCTCCCTGAACGTATTGAAAAGACCGGTTCCTTTGTTAATGCCTACTATAGTATTAGCACTCAGGCAGCAAAGGGTCATATACAGGTGAGGCTTGTATAAGCATTGAACGCCCGCATGAAAGATCAAGCAAATAACGCAACAATTTTAATATGAAATACAAGAATGTAGACAACGCTTTTGTTCACACGTTGACTGGCATTTAAATGGCCATGGAAACCTGATCTGTAAGTTTTAAGTTTCGTTGCTTATTCCCTTTCATGCACAGCTTCTCGAAGCCTTTAATATCAAATACTTTTTATTTTCACAGGCAAGTGGTTCTCTGCTATTGGGAACAAAACTGCTTATTTTACATTTGCATACAGTGGCTTGTCTGTAAAGTTACTGTCGCCAACACCACCTGATGAGGTAATTCACTGATCAGAGCTCCCATTATCCTCCATTTTCAGCCTCGAACCTATTTAAGGTCAATGATATACTGTCCTGTTTTTGAGTGATGTCAGCAATTCTATGTGAAGTTCCATGATGCATAAATGTCTTCATCAGATAACTGAACAGACTGACTGCCTTTAGATGGATCCCAGAATCCATTCATCTACTGACAACTGGAAGTATTTTTGGAGACGTGATGGAGGTTGGAGCGTGGGGGAGGGGAAGAGGGGAATATTTTAAAATTTTATCTGCCCAAATATGAAGTGGTTCAATACTTATAAAATGTAAACTTTAACTTTGTACTTTTCTTTGTTCAGTTCATCCCATGGATCTTTCGATGGATGCCCCTAAGCCAGACCAGGAGGAAGGACAGTGAAGCAGTGCCTGAGACTCCAATCTCTCCTGTTCTTCTTTGTGCAGATAAGCATTCAGTCAGCCTTTCAGTGTATCTGGCCACACTCTTTTGGAACTCCATCCCAGAGATCTTATGACTCACCGCTTCCCTCGCCTCCTTCAAGGTCTGCCTCAAGACCTTCCTCTTTGGCTGCGCTTTCAGCCTTCTTCTCCCCCCACCACCCCGCCCCCTCGATCCCAAACCCCAGCTCAGGTACAAGCCTTAAGACTGTCCAGCGTCTTGGGATATCCTTCTGACATGAAAGGCGCTATATAAATGTAATTTTGTATTGTATTGTATATAAATGTAAATTTGCAGTTGTAAGAAAGAACTTGCATTTTATAACGCCTTAACATGTTGAAATGTTTCAAAGTCCTTTACAGGTAATCACTATCAAAGTGTTTTTATGGGCAACTAAAAAATTGTTCCTACTAGCATTTTGTTCGACTCTCGACTTTCCTTTAAGTCGGGTTCTGGCCTTCTTTGCTTTACTTCATCTGCACAATATCATCTTCCTCCACAACGACCTCACTCCTAAAACAGATAAAAGCCTCACTCAAACCTTTGTTACCTCCAGACTCAGCTTTTTCCAATGCCCTGCTCACCAGCCCCCAGCTCTATCCTCCACAAGCTCCAGCTCATGCAGACTTCCACAGCCCATCTTCTCTCCTTCACTAAACTCCACAAGCCCTTCACACCCATCCTCGTATGGCTTCACTGGCTCTATATCAGTCAGTTCCAGTGGAAAGCCTCTCTGTTTGACTGCACCATAAACCGCCTCTCCCCTATTCTGTGCCCCCTCTCACTCCCAGGTCCATCTTTGTAAGATTCACTTTCACTATAGTGTAAAATACTCCTGTTAGTGCTTTGTGTGCAGCTGTTCACATTCGCATGAAGTTGCTAGGATTTCATTATCTGAGGGTCTCTAACAACCTCTTGTGCAGCTTTTTACATATGCACAACATTTTTTGCTGCTATCTTGCAGGCCTGCATCCAACTTTTACATTGGGGCCTGTGAGGATAAACAGACATGCGGATAAACAATTCTGTGGAGTCCTGTAGCTCAGTGGTTAGAGCACTCGCTTTGCAAGTGAGAGACCTAAGTTCAATTCCAGGCAGAGGGTGAAACCTTGGGCAAGTTTCCTTACTCCACACAGAGCCTAATAATAATCCCTCCAAAACCCAAAACAATAATAAATTGGTCATTTTCAATCTACGACTGTTTGTGGGACATTGCTGTGTGCAATTGGCTGCCGCGTTCGCCCACAAATATATAGTCAATTCACTTTACAGTGTGTTCTGTGAAGCGCTTTGGGACATCCTCCCGACGTGAAAAGCGCTATATCAAATGCAAGGATTATTATTATTATTATTATTATTATTAAACAGTGCACGATTAAAACAGACATGAGGATTAACAGCATTGCAGTTGCACTGTACTTTGGTAACATGTTACAGAGACAACACTAACATTTCAGTTAATGTCACAAATAAAATAAATTATTTGCAACTTCCCACATTCATAACGGAATGTTACAAGCGTAGCAGACAGACCAGTCAGTAGTCAGAAGGAAAAAGTCAAAATCTCTTTATTTTACAATTTTGTTTCTCTGTACTGTGCTCCAGTGTTCTTTCTGCATGTTAATAAATAGCATACATTTTAAAAAAAACTCCAGTGTCTATTTTCCTGCCATAAAATAAAAAAAGTCCAGTTTTTAAAATGTTCTGCCTTGAATAAAATTGCTTTAACCTTTTTAAACAAAAACAATTCTGAAATAGTGTAGAAGAACTTACTACAGCCTATAGTCATAATATACAAATGGGAACTGTTCTGACAGTTTTTGCCTTAGACAATTGAAGCCAAATCTACAATATTATTGTCAAAATATTCACATGTACCCAAACAAATAAAAGAAGATTGGTTGGCAGACCTGACAAAAGACTCTACCCACATCTCACATGAACCAGCAGGTGTGCCTAAACTGAAAGTGACCCACACAATACCTATGGTATTTAACACAAAAGTTCAAGTAGCTTTAAGCTAAGTACAGAACTTGGATTGATTTCTAAACTTTTCTTATTTTAGAAGTTACACATTCATATTTTCTTGCTCTTAAAAAGTCTTATTTTAATAGAAAAAATGTTGACTTTACAATATAAACACACCAAATTCAAATAAAATTGTGTAATCTTCTTGCCTTTATAAAAGTCTGAAGATTTACTTATTCAGCAAACTGCTTGTAATCAAATTAATAAAACAAATCAAGACCAATTAAGCATATACAAATGAGTTCTTCAGAAGTATCAACATACAAAATATATAAAACTATCTACACATTTTAGAATTTTGTTGTACAAAAGGCATTCATTTTAAGACTATCCCCTTTTCCCACCCCGATTCCATCCCAAGGCAAGTGATGAGATGGAAGGACATTGAATCTCAGAGAGACACACACTTCCATCGATGTGTACGACGTATCCTGTGGAATTCTGTATCCCGTTAAAGTCGTTCCAAGATTTGCCGTTGAGGCACAGTCTTACTTTATCGTGCTTTTTAATGTAAATATGTCAGACCGGTTCATCTCAGGAGGACTGAATATAAGGCAGTGGAAGCACTCAGGGATTTGGCTTGAGGGCTGGTATCCAGTTAGTCCACAATCAGTTTAGCTGCATAGTGGTTGGATGTCCTTTCTTATATTTTTGGCACACGTTAAATATGTCCCTTGCAAGTCACATGTACCCGACCTTCCAATTTCATCCTCATGTAGTTTTCTCCATTCGTGAGCCTTGTTTCCCTTTTTGCTGCTGTTGGCTGGAAGTAAATCTTATTCATTCAAGTGCAGCAGAGCGGTCTGTGGGACACGGAAAGTGACATCGGCTTGATGAGAGGTCTCAGGATTCCAGTCGCTTTTCTGATATCCTGATGGGTCAGATTGAGGTTTCGTTACTTCCTCTGGACGCAAGAGCAGGGAGGAAGGGGAAACATGCAGAATCATGGTTACGTGATGATTAACAGGGGAGATCAAAAGAAATAGATTACACAGAGGTTAGCATATTAGCATGCAGTTTCTAATCACAGTGCTAAAGAAATAATGGACAAAATTATATTGTCTCATTTTTCATTGAAAATAATAATGTTAGTAGATGCAATGTACAACAGTAACACAGTGTTAAGTTACTTACAAACAAAGTAAAAAATAAAATTCCAGTGTTTGCCAATTTTAGCAACGGATTTGGATGAAATTAAACAGGGGTGGAAATTTGGGGGCAATAAAGTTTTACTGCTGCTCTCAGTTTCCTTGTTTTGGGGAAAAAAAGGTAAAGGTGAAAAAGGACACTGATCACACAAGGGCCATAAAAGAACTACAGCAGCATTGCACACCTGAGAAAGCACATTGCAAAGTGAGGCTTTAACAGCAGATCACACCTGGAATTTGCAATTCTAATGAAGGGTAAAGTTTAGAAATATCATGAAAGCAGTGAAAGAAAAGAATAGTAGAGACATTTTCTGCACAACCGTATGTGTTATGGTCATTAGTGGATACACTGCAGGCGAACAGAAGAGGACCAAGGTCACTAAAGGCACAACAATTCTCAGTAGGTACGATGTAAGGCAGCAATACCTTTTGCAATAAGAACACTGCACAAGGAGGCTAAGCATTTACTGCACAACAGCTACTTGCACAAGTTTGCACAAAAGTTGGATTCGCAGTGTTGCATTTGAGCTACAAAATCGGGATTCTACAGCTGGAGTACCAGGGTTTCAGATGTAATGAGCTAAGTGGCTGTTCAGCTGCTAAAATATTATTAGTGACTATGTTTCCTTAACACCAACAAAATCACAATCGATGAATAGCATTTGAAGGTAGCCACTCATTTTTGTTAATCAGCTTTTGTACCGATTTAAACATAAAGGAATTTCAGGATTTACAAAACCACAAAACTCCACATTTCAGATTTGATGCATTTTTCTACAGATAAGTCATTTTAATATACAGTACAGTGAGGTGACAGTGCAAAGTAATATTAGTTGTCATTTGCATATACCTTGATTCTTACTTTAACAAAAGGTTGCCTTGTGTCAATTGATATTTCAGTCTAAATCTGGTTTCAGATTAGATTTCCTAAAATTGCCGTCTATGGAATCAAGTTGGTTTATAACTGAGGGTCTTTCAGTTTTGTGAAGCAGTTCCAGCCCATTTGTGCGAGTGATGCACATTTATATACACTTGTAACAAAAGCTTTTGCAATGTCCTGCATCACAGGTGCAGCAGCCTATAATTTACTTCTGAGTTTTAAAGATCACGTCACAGACCCTGGCTTCAGTGATTACAACTCTAGACAAATGTCTGATTGTGATTTACTGCTGTGCCAAGGTTTCTGAATTATTAAAATTTCAGTTAATAAAACAAACCGATCACAACACCTGCATTTTATCTTTATTGCTTGTGAGTCAGGTCATGTGGCACTTGAGCTCTGGGTCCTTCACATTCCTGAGTTTACCTATGAGGTGGAAATATCTCACATTTTCTAAGGATTTTTGAGTGGAATTTTTTTTAAGTCTGTAAGATCACTAACCTGTGAGATCACTAACCAGTGAAATCACAGTAATGGGGGAAAACTAATAAAAAAAAACACCAATTACTTTTGTGGACGTTACATTTTATCACTTTTATGGTGAGCGTGTCACTGTTAGAGCATAAAACGTTTCTAATTTTTGCACCCTGTACCAAGCATCCACACACCAGGTACAGCATTGACGAGGTAGAGTTTTGCCCTGGGAACTTGGGCTACCGTAAGGTAAAACTGCACAGACATTTCACTTAAACCGTCATTTAAACATGAGAAAGAAGCGATTGGTAAAAGAGAGGGGATTAAGAGGTGGGAGCTCATAAGCAGTATAAACACGGCACATAGTAGTTGGTCCGAATGACCTATTTCCATGCTGCAATAGTCTATGTAACTCTATGTAATTTAACCTTCAAGTTACAGGAGATGATCATCTCATCAATCTGGGATGGATTTCAACGGAGGGGTGACAGGACACTGAACATACTGCACTTTGCTAATTTTTTTAAATAGAACAGCTCAGGTTACATTATGTAAAACAAATTCTCAGTCGCACCAAAGACAGTGAGTATTCCTGTGCTCACTGAACTCCTGAGAAAGGTCTCTTAATTTCCTTTTACTTTTGGCGCTCATTACTGACAGCTCTTTGACACGTGGGAAGGGACAGCAATTCACTGCTTCAAGCTGAAATCATAGTAAAGGCAAAGTTTAATTTTTAAAAAGTGTTTTGTCTGGAATGAAGTGAGGGGCTATATGCTTTTTAGTACAGACAGGATTCACTCTGTGTTCAGTTGGCTGATTTTAACAGAAGCGCGTGTGAGCACAAGCGACCTCTGTGTCCCCATGCCAGCAAGAGTCAGGGATGCCTCTGATCACTCCTTCAGAGGTGGACCAAAGCAAGGGGAAGTTCGCACCTTCAGGAGAGGAGAACTATACCGCGGGGTGAATGCTGGACCATAACTCAGGGTGAAGGTGAGACCAAGTAGAATGTAAAGAAACACCAACAACAACTTCAGAAAAACATTTCAATCAATCTAGCTCATGCAACTAAAATCAAGAAAGGGGTAAGTGTTTTTTTAAAAAAAAGAACAATAGATCAACTGTGCCTGTTAATGTGCTACTTTACCGTAAAGGTTAAGCACGCATTACCTGCCACCAAATACTCAAAAACTAAGTGTCCAATTTAAAACAGACTAGCTACTACATGAAGAAAGCTAGAGGGCAATTTCTGGGCTTTAATTTCAACCCATTCAGTTTCAGGAATGTAATGCCTGTGAACTATTCTGGCATGTCTAATCATACACCTCCTGTAGGCATCATCAATACTGGAGGTTACCTCATGCTTCAAAGGTGATTCAACAGAAAGTCCCTTCAGGTGCTTGGCTGAGTGTTTTTTTTCTGTTTTATTACTGTTACTTATATGATCCATCATTAGGTATGAAATGTGGGCAGTGTGATTAAGCACTGGGCCAAACAATTCATATTAACAAAGAACTGGTTGGTGTTGGAGGACTGTGGATAGTGCTGTATTTCAATGCTCCTTCAGAGGATAGCAGCTGAACATGCTTTCAGTTAAGTGAAGCGACACTGAAACATGCACTTTGGGTTCACAGCAATTGCAGTGCAGAAATTATCGGCCAGTTTCCAACCAACCCATTGTGCTGCAGGGATTGGAAGACATACAATTCATGATCACTAGCCAACAACTGGAAAAATCTTCATTATCCTGAACAGTGCAGCTCACTTTATTCAAATAATGCCCGCCGACATCTCCTCAGCAATAAGGAAGCATGGAACATGAAAAGCCCATTCAGGCCATAGTTATTATCACAATCCAACCCATTTTTATCTCTTGAGGGAAACTTCCACCTAATTTCTCTCCAACTCTGAAAGGGAATTTTTAATTATTAACCAGAATATCCATCAATTCAAACATCCACCATTCCACTCTGGCCCAAACCCAAATCAATTGCTTTTGAATATTAGAAGCCTAGGCCACAGTCCCACTTCAATCTTCTTTTCTCAGTGAAAATAAATTCAACCCTGGATCCCTGAATCATTCTTTTTGGATGCTCTGTGATGCATTGCCATGCTGAATCATTTTCAGAATGTAGTTTCACACAATGCAACAGAAAAATAAAAAAAACCTCATCATCACAAATTTGGAAAGAAAAGACTAACACTCTATTAAACGCATCAATGGTTATTGCTGATCAACAAGTGGAGGTTGTTGATGAGAGAGTATAACACAAACCTCAAATGGGGATAAGGAGATGCTGAAGGAGACGTTTGAATTCTTTTAGCATCAGGAAAATAATAAGTACATGGGGGGTGGGGCAAAGTATTGACTGAGGCTCTTAGCATCATAGAAACACAGAATCAAAATAAAGAGGTAAGAAATGTTTCCTGTTTTCCAAACATAGACCTGCTAGGCAGAAGAGTGGCATGATCAATAAGAGGTGTCAGAGTAGCAATTTGAAAGGTGGATGCAACAGCAGGTGTCAGACAGCAAAATTTAATTAGCAACTGCTATCAGCAGCCAACTCCAAATGAGAGTTGTTTAGGTATGTACGAGAGGCTGCAGGGAAGTGTAACACGATCAGCATAGGGAATATCACCCTAGAGGTAAAGCAGGCAGATTGAAGAGGTGCTCAGAAATATGGAATGTCTGCTACCTCCTGTATTGAGTGTATCTGAGGGCTGAGCGAGATCAACAGTTCTTTAATGTGTGGATACTTACTCTGAATCAGAGGTGTCCCCATTGACAGTGCCCGTTCTAATACTCATAGGTATAGATGCCATCCCATTTAACTGGTCTCGAGACTGTGGTCTGATCGGCTGCTTTATCACTATGCCTGTGCCCGTGGCTGAACGGGTTCCGTCGCTGGACCCTAATGAGGAGGTCCGGGAGGAGACTGTTGCTGTTTTACAATTTGAGAGTTCATTATGTATTCGATTTATCCTATTTTCTTTCAATGGTGGTGGGTAAGTGACTTTATTTTTAAGGATACCTGTCATGAAAGAGAATTACAAAAATTAATTCTGCAGTTTACAAGAGTTTGTTTCAAGTATGTGTTATCTATTATACACAAGTGATTTATATTGAATGTAATAAGCATCAATTTGTGCCAGGAGTTAAAAGAGCTACCTACGCTGGTGGCGGAAATCCAACTTATTTTCTCCGAGCTTATTTTCTCTTTGCTGCTTCACCAAACCTCACCCTACAACTCATGTTAAGGGAGTTGCCACTTGAACCCATTTATATTATTCGCTTAAATAATCTTCCCTCATAATGCATTCATCAAAATTATTACCCATTGTACATAAAGGTTCTACCTGCCATCTCTTCTTCCTGCTAACTTCCACATCTGTCATTTGTGCTCCTGGAATATAAACTCTTCACAATTCAACAGCAACAACAACAACATTACATTTGTATTGCGCTATTCACATCAGGAGGACGTCCCAAGGCGCTGGACAGACAGAGTTACGAACCCGAGCTGAGGGTTGGGGTGGGGGACAGGGCAGGGGTGGGAAGCAGAGAGATCGAAAGCACGGTCGAAGAGGAGGGTCTTGAGATGGGTCTTGAAGGTGGCGAGGAAGGGTGCGAGATGGAGGGACTGCGGGATGGAGTTCCAGAGGGTGGGTGCAGAGTGGCAAAAGACCCGCCCATAGATAGTGGGACGAGCGAGGCAGGGGACGTGAAGCAGGCTGAAGCCCGCTGAGCGAAGGGAGCAAACAGGGTGGTAGGGGGTTAGGAGGTCGAAGAGGTAGGAGGGAGCAAGACGGTGGAGGGCTTTGAAGATGAGGACCAGGATCTTGAACTGTATCCTCTGTGTGATGGTAAGCCATGGAGTTGGGCAAGGATGGGGTTAATAGAGTCACGGAGCCTGGTGCGGGAGAGGACAAGGACTGCAGAGTTCTGGATGATCTGCAGCCTGTGGAGGGAGGAGTTGGGGAGGCCAACAAGCAGTGCCTTTGCATAGTCGAGCCTCAATGTAATGAAGGCGTGTATGAGGGTTTTGGCGGCCTGCGGTGTGAGACAGTGGCGGAGCCGGGCAATGTTGTGGAAGTGGGGGAAGGCAGAGCGTGTCATGGCGCAGATGTGGGGTAGAAAGGATAGTTGAGACTCCAAGGATCCCAACTAGCTTAGCAAGGTGGAGTGTGCAACCATGGATGGTGATGCTGTCAGCGCCTGAGGTGAGGAGGCGCTCATGGTAGCCAATCAGGAGAGCCTCGGGTCTTGTTGACTTTCAACTGAAGAAAGTTAGCTCTTATCCAGGACTTGATGTCTGACAGACATTCTGTCAGGACAGCAGTGGTCCTTGAGTTAAGGATGGAGGCAGAGAGATAGAATTGGGTGTCATCCGCATACATGTGGAAGTTGATCCCATGTCTGTGGATGATGTCACCAAGAGGGAGCATATAGATATTGAAGAGGAGGGGACCAAGGACAGAGCTCTGAGGAACGCCGAACGAGACGATCCGGGGGCTAGAGGAGAAGCCGTTTATTGAGATGAAGTGCAGGTGGTGTGAGAGGTACGATCTGAACCAGTCAAGGACAGCGCCATGGAGGTTGAGGTGAGAGGAGAGGCAGTGGATGAGGATAGAGTGGTCGACAGTGTCAGAAGCAGCAGAGAGGTCAAGTAGGATGAGGAGGCAGAGGGTACCCTGGTCGCAGAAGGACAGAATGTATTTTGTCACTTTGACCAGGGTGGTTTCTGTGCTGTGGAAACCCAATTGGCGAGGTTTGAGAAAGGAGTGGCGGGAGAGGAAGGAGCGAAGCAACAATTCGTTCCATGACCTTGGAGAGGAAAGGGAGGTTGGAGATGGGGTGGTAGTTAGGGAGCAGAGAAGGGTCCAGGTAGGGTTTTTTAAGGATAAGAGTGATGACAGCATTTTTTAATGGGGTGGGAACAGTACCAGAGGACAGGGAGAGGTTTATGATGTCAGTGAGTAGAGAGGCAAGGAGGTGGAGCTGGGAGGTAAGGAAAGGGGTAAGGATGGGGTCGAGGGAACAGGTGGTACTTTCATACGGGTTATGGTGGTGATGTGAGAGGGGGAGACAGGTTCAAAGTTGTGGAGGGTGGGATGGTTAGGGGCCGGGTGGGAGGAGGAGATGGGGAGGGGGTAGCAGATGCAGTGGCAGAGGCAGCTGAGCGGAATTCCTCGACTTTAGATTCGAGGAAGTCCAGCATTGCCTTACAGTTTGCGTTTGAGGTGAGGATAGGTGAGGTTTGAACAGGTGGGCGGAGGAGACGGTTCATGATGGAAAAGAGGAGCCTGGGGTTGTCTTTAACTTCCAAGATTGTCTTGGAGTAGAATGATGATTTAGCGGAGGTAAAAGTAAAGTTTTCAGGATAATAAAGGAGCTGGCAAAATAACTGCAGGTAAACCATCGAATTGTGAAGACTTTATACTAGGAGCACCAAATTACAGATGTGGAAGTTAGAAGGTTTTTAAAGAGAGAGCAATCCTAAGAACTTACAACCAACAACATCATGAAGAGCAATCAGGGCTTCATCCAGCGCAAGAAAATCATAATAAATGTTTAGCAAATACTAGAACCGAGTCAGTCACAGTACATAAAACTTCAGATTATTTTTATCCTGATTGCAAAGTTGCACAAAGTTTCCAAATTTGGAAACGTTGGACAGGAAGAGGAGGATGGCTCATTAATACATTCTAGAGATCATTTGCCGTGGTGAGCTCAATACTTGCCTTTTCTTTGTTCTGGTTGTGGATTGGAGATAGGCTGAGGACCGGGTATGCTTTCATTCTGCTGTACATCCTCCTCCTCATCCACTTTGGGAATGTCCCCACAGTGATTCATTTTATTTTCTCTGTGCAACTCGATGTTTACTTTTGTTTCCACCTTTAGTTTCTCCGCAGTCCCGTGATCTTCGCTATCACTGGCTGTGGTACATTCGGCAGGCCAATAAGGCTTAACATGATTGGGCATGCACTCAGCTGGGGAGTGGGGGAAGATGGAGAGAAGTTAAAGGTACATGTTGAATATACGTACATATGGTCTATACTTATAGAAAAGATACCACTCACAAGGATTCCAGGAACACCAGCTTTGTGCTCAAAGGAACTTTCAACACCAGTACTTACATGGGTGTAAACTAGCAACTTTTACATGTAACATTACTGTGATTCTCTAGTGTAGTCAGTAAGTACTACTACATGGGAACTATGGACCTGTCATGGAGTAACTCATTCAAATGAAGCAAGCCACAGGGATAAATGGTCCCAGATATAGAATGCCCAACTTTCTAGTTGGAAGGCATAGTTGTATTTATCAAGCACTAAAGTGGCGAGCGCTACACAGGCACGTTCCATATCAGAGCAATCAGACATCTTTGCTCTAATTCATGCTGCTGGTGTTTGGCTTACCCTTTGGTGTGCTGTGTACTGGATGTTTTTCATTGTTTTTAAGTGTTGCTTTGCTCCAGGTCGGGTCTGCTGGAAACTCATCTTCACTATCTGATGAACGACTAGAAGCATAGGAGCTGCTATGATCATCTTCCAAAGAAAGTTCACTGTCTGAATCAGAATCTGGCTCTAGAAAAAGATTAAAATATGAATTATTTGGTACAATGAAACTGTTATTGCTTTATAACAGAGCAAACATGGTAACTTGGGAAAACATTACGTTTATTGGGGAATATAAAATACAACATGAAAGACATAAATACACCTCCAGCAAACAGATGATTAAGGAAAGAGTAGGACCCTTAAGGATCCCAAAGTGACATGCTATCGATTGTCTAAGCAATGATAGATATTTTAAATTAATTATTTTTATCGGAGTTCATGAGCTGCCTTTCTTATCGGTGGAGGTAGAGTTTCCAGGACAACTGGAGCAGAGCACTGATGATGTTAAAGACACAGATGAATGGCAGGCTAAAGGAACAAGCAACAATAATAATAACTTGCATTTATACATTACTTTTCACATAAAAACAGACATCCCAAGGCACTTTACAAAATATATACTGTATTGATTAGAATTTTTACATTAGAAATTAATTGACTGTTATATGGCTAAGTGCAGCAGGGAATCTGCGGCAAAAAGCCCATAAACAACAATGAGTACAAACCATCTGTCGAGTGCATACAAGGTACTTAAGGGAAATCCACAAAATATACACTGAATCCACTTTACAGCGTATTCTGTGAAGTGCTTTGAGATGTCTCAATGACATGATAAGGTGCTACATCAAATGCAAGGATTATTAATATTATTAGCTAACAAAATTACATGTGGTTGGTATATTTAGGTGAAAATGGAAGGTATCCTTGAGGATTACAGAAGACAGAACATAATGATGAAATATAAAAAGGGGGAAAAGGTAACACTGCAGGCCAGTGAGTCTCTGACCTTTTGAAGGGAAGATATTGGAGAACTTCCTGAAAGAGGGGATAAGAGGAAAGTAACAAAGAAAATGTAGAATTATAAGAGGGAATCAGCATGACTTTATGGGAGGGAAATTGTGCATGTTAAATCTTTTGGACACTTTGAGGAAATAAGGATAGGTGGAACTGTGTGTATACTATGCATTTTGATTTTAGCAAAGCATTTGACACAGTGACACAGGTCCACAAGGTTGAGGGGATGGAATAGGGGGCATTGAATCAGAAAGCCAATGTGCAGTTGTACATGCATGGAAGCAAGTAACTAGCTGAGAGATTCAGGGATTAGTCTTTGGCCTGCTGTTACTTACAGTTTACATCATAAATTGGATGCAGAAAACTAATTGTCTTTAAGTTTGATGTGATCAAACTGGGGAGAAATAACAGGAAACAAAATTCTGTAAGATCTAAACTAAGACTAGATGGAATTTCAAACTGCTGGGATATCAATCTATTTTCAATTATTCTGCCTTACACTTTAACTCAGAATATTAAAACCATTATTTAAAATATTGATTTTGCTTTGAAGTTTTGCAGCAGGCCTTTATCAGTTGATGAAGAATCTTACCCTCAGGCTTCCTTGTTTTTTTGTGGAATATTCCGGAATCAGGTTCCGTGGGGCCAGCCTCTGCTTGACTTGATAATAAGCTCACTCTCTGAGTTTCATCCCTGTGAAAAGATGCAGAGTATTTTCCTTAGCAACGTAACATGTTCCTAATTAGCCACATTAGCAGCCAGAGGGAGCGAGATGATTCATTAAATCATGGATTGGATGACTCCTTGTACTTTGTAAATAACACAGCAGATAAAGAATTTGAAGGAAGGGTATCAGAAACAATTGTGCCTTTTGAAGATAAGTCTAATCATAGTAAAAAGGGGCAATAGTGGAGAAAAGAAAGGATTTCTATTTCTTGATCAGCATTCCTACACCAGAACAGTGAAGGTCAGATGAATTCTGCTTAGACAATCGGGACTAGTAATGCACTATGTAGAAAACCACTACGCATTATGTGCAAACACAGGCGTATTATGCATCAAATATTCACCCATCTATACAAAGGGCTCTTAATAATGTGATCAATATGGGTCTCTGCAATTTCCTTTGTAAACATTCATTACACGTGGCACATAAAACACCTGTTTTACTCATTGCATACAACAGACCTTGTTGTCAACTCAACCCAAATCACCAAATTCATATGCCTAACATATGGTGGAACTAAGATTTCTTTATTTAAAGTTCTTTATCTGGTCCTTCTGAACCATAGCTCTTTCCTTAGATCAGGTGATGCACTCTGAAAAAAACACAGCCAAACATATACAATGTTTTTAAGAGGCACTATTTTTAAAAATCAAACATTTAGAAAGAATTTATGATTAAATATTTTGGGGGAGTTGACTCACAAAAGTTACAGAGAGAAGCTGAAATCAAATATACAATCACCAGAAAGCCTCAGGACATTTGTTAGTAAATCTGTTATGCTGGGAAATATTCTCACTCAATAATATCAGAAACACTCACTATTTCAAACCATATCTTTTGGTGAGTAAAAATGATATATAAACCTTGCCAGCTTTGTCCACTCAGTAATTAATGATTTTTGGGGGGAATTTTGAAGGAGAGAAATCCCTTTAATTTGAAGATGGAGCCAAATCATCTTACCCTTTAATATACAGCAACAACCCTCAGAGTCGTCCTTTGTTTAATTTTGTTGGGAAGGATGGCACCTGCGCCTAGGATCATCCTGGATTGTAAGATACTAACTTGAGACTTAAGCCTAGAAGGTTTTGACCCTGAAGTGCAAGTGGCACTAACTGAGCCAAACTAATATGTAAGAACATTTTTAAGCCATTTAAAAAAAAATACTTTTTTTTAATGCTGGCATGGATACAAGTCATTTAATCATGTATTCCTCTAGATATAAAAAAGGGTGTTTTCCCTGGTATCCTGGCCAACAATCCTAATAAAATTGGTAATTCACTTCATATCTGTTTGTGGGTTATTGCTGTGCGCAAACTTGCTGCTATGTTTGCTTACAATTACATTATCAGTATACTTTACAGTAAATCCTTTGAAGCATTTTGAGGCATTTCAACAACATGATGAGGTGCTACATCAAATGCAAGGATTATATATTGTAAAGAAAATCTGCAAACCCTGATGATCAATGAACATTGCAATGAATTGGCACAACAGTGGCCCATTGTCACAGCCATGACAGAATTTATGGGGATTACAGTAACTTCAGGGATGCATTCATCAATTACAGAAAACATCTGAAAACTAATAGGGCAGCGATCATTTGCCTAAATGCGAAATGGAGTGCTTACACTGCAAGGAAAAGCAAACTTTCCAGTTGTAGAAGAAAAGGCATACAACAGATAAATATATGGATGTGGGGGAAGAGCCACTGCCTCCCCAGATGGTTGTGAAGAGAAACTGAATAAAATACAATTTGAAGAAACAAATAAAATCTCATCGCCAATATGGGACTGCAATGATTCTGAATATTACAGTCAGCATTAAGTAGCTGCAGGAGCCTTGAATTCAAATGCAACTACATACATGAAAAATCCTGGAGGAACAATCTCCTGACCAATTCTGCCAACTAATCCTGTAACCTCTTCAATTTCTTTCAGTTTCTTCACTGCTCAACACAGTCATACTTAGGTGTCAAGTGTAGCTCAGTGGTTAGAGCACTCGCCTCGCAAGCGAGAGACCTGGGTTCGATTCCCGGTAGAGCGAAATGTTGGGCAAGTTTCCTTATTCCACACACCTCTGTTTACCTAGCAGTAAGTAGGAGCCCGGTTGTTAGTCGATTGGCAGATTGCTTTTCCGGGGGTAATAATCCTTAAAAAAAATAATAATTTGGTTACTCAATCCACGATTGTTTGTGGGACACTGCTGTGCGCAATTGGTTGCCACGTTTCACCCACAAATATACAGTCAATTCACTTTACAGTATATTCTGTGAAGCGCTTTGGGACATCCTCCCGACGTGAAAAGCGCTATCTCAAATGCAAGGATTATTATTATTAAAAGTGCTATATCAAGTGCAAGGATTATTATCATTATTATTATTATTAAGCCCAGAGAATCTCTGAGGTGTTTTTCCACCCAATGCTGCTATTTATCAGCTATTATCAATGTTCCAAGTAAGTTCACTGAGCCTTAGGTTGTACTTAAACAGAAATTAAGTACATTTCATCAACTAATGACACCTGAACTATATTATTCCACTCAAAAGTCTTTCATGTACTACGGACCAAACCCTCTTTTTAAAGGTTTGGTTTAATAGAGCACGGGAATCAGTCAATCAGATAATAGATTAAACAGTAAATTGCAAACTTGCATCAATAAGCAAACACCAACAGTTTAATGTCTCCTTGTTAGTGTTGTGTTGTAAATCAACAATAGAGTAAGCAAAGTACATCAAGAAAGGACAATGTGATTGCTTACATTAGTAGTAAACCAGAAAAGATCAAAGCCATGCACCCGCCACCACATTACCTGAGAATATGAGCAACGAAGCTATTGTGGCTCTTGGCTGACCTGACAGTGCTCTCCATGGAGGCAGTAGATTCACCGATGGTTGTGCGATACATTCGACCTTCATCTACGTATGTATTGTTACAGTTGAGCGACCGCTGGAAAAGAGCACAGAAGTTCATTCAATCCCGTAGTGCCACTTCTTAAGATCAGCCAGTGGCTTTTTGCCATCAAGCTCATGGGTAAAGCCACAGGATCCAATTACAGCACATGATACCTGTCACTCCATGCACTGAACTGGAACTGTAAGCGGTTACCTTCAGTTCTGTGGCATACACCACCATTCAGCGCTATGAGCAGAATTGCTCAGCTCTTTTCTGATAGCTTTACAATGGTCCATAATATAACCAATTTGATAAATGAGTTTCATCAAAGTAAATCAGAATTTATAAAGATGATCACCTTTCAATTAGAATTTGTTTGCTGTTGTACTATAAACCCTGAACCATTCTATAGTTCTAATCATTTCTATGGAAATGTATCCTTTATCCACATTAAAACAATGCAGGATCATCGCTGCAGTAAAGAGAATTAAAGCTACTCAGTGACATACCTGATCCTAGTTTAATATGAAGAGCCACTGAATAGTTTTTTTCACTCTGTGTGGTTCTGTCATTATGTTGATTCACTTCTTTTAAAAACCGCTTATTTAGTGACAACATTTGAATTAGTTTAAACAAAATGTTTCTTCTTAGACCCAAATTATATGCATATTATTTGTTATAAAATGAAAACAAATAAAACTATGGAATGTGCTTACTGTAGCAGTGAATTATTGACAAATGGCTTTGGTCAGAGAGTAATTACAGAACTTCATAATTAGGCTAGGAAGGTACGACATATGTTCACTTCCACAGTAACAGGAACTTACTGATAAGACGGTGGTTCTGGTCAGGACTGTGTCATCAGGATGTGGTTTCTTTCCAGTGAATATGTTTGTTAGAGTTTTTCGAACTTCTTTGTCAAGGATACAGTGGCAGAAAAAAATGAAGAGTCCCTAAAATCAGAAAGCAGTTCATTTGGGATGAATGATAACCAACTGAAAGGTTTCTTAAAAAGAATTACAACAAGGTTCAGTGACAGTTCAGGCACCATGTAGTGTGGTACAGAACCATACATCAGGAAGATTACAGCCTTCTGAGTTAACCAATCAAGTTGAAGCATATAACTGGCCTGGTTTGGGGAATTTGAAGAGTAAATAATTCCAGGTTCCTGTTCCTACTCAAAAAAAATCAGTAACTACGAAATTCTGGAAAAGTGATAGAATCTTACAGCTCAAAAGGAGACCATTGTGCCTGTGCCGGTCCTTTGAAAGAGCTACCAACTAGTCCCTTTCCCCATAGCCTTGCAGTTTTTTCCTTTTCAAGTATACATATTCAATTCCCTTTTGAAAGTTATTATTGAATCTGCTTCCATCACCCTTTCAGGCAGTGCATTCCAGATCGTAACAACTCGCTGAGTAAAAAAATTGATCTAAGAATATTCCCTCAGAAATAATAAAACTGGCACCTTAAGCATCCACACACCTCAGAGACCAAGTGCGTAGCAATAGTCCTAGTATACTGATAGCCAACACCTACCCTATTCCTGAATGCCTCTGTAAATCAATTCATGTCACTGTAAATCAATGGGCAGTAAAGAGCAACTATTTTACTCTTCTTGCCTTATACCAATGGTTATAACATGATTAGTTTTTTAAAAAAAACTAGCCTTTGTGTCCCATTCTATAAATAGAATCCTTTGGAGGCACCAGAGGAATGTGACATTTAAACAATTCCTCACTATTTAACAGTCTGTTTAAGCATGACTTGTGGAAATATATAAATGCACAGAAGCATTAACTTTCTCTCAGCAATTGCTGGATTCTTGTGAAAGTGATCTTAATTCTATGTGGCCCCTTACCAGCTATCAAATTTAGTACCGATCAAAGGAATGCTGCTCAAGTAGTTGAGAAGGCTTAACAGTTATTAACATGTAAAACCACATAATAAATCAGTTTTCTGTAAGTGGATTGAATTATTTTTCTCATTATTTTCTCTTTCAATTGTTCTCTCTTTCTCCTCCTCTTCTAAAAATGCCTTACATGGACTCTATTCATCTCCGATACCTGGCCTTGGTTATTTATGTGTTAGCATTGACACTGAGAGGTGGCAGCCTATTCAACCAGTGAAGACATCACAGCTGGTTCAAACCAAACATGCCACTTCTAGAGGGGCATGACTAAAATGAGCNAAAAAAAACTTTGATTCTCTCAAGCCAAATTTTCCAAGGTAACAGATAACAGAAGCGATGCCTGGGCAGAAACATGAACTTTTAAATTGCCAAGTAATTGAATCAAATTTGTGTTTTTTTTTAAAAATTAAACATTTCTTAAGTATCAATATTATTTGTATTAATAATAATAACAATAATGATCCTTATATTTGGTAAAGCACCTTTCACGTCAGGAGGGAGCTTCACAACACTTCACAGAATAAACTGTAAAGTGATGTGACTTGTGTTTTGAGGGTGAAGATGTCAGCTAATTTGCACACAGCAATGTCCCACAAAGAGCCATTCTTTGAACATGCTTTCCAAAACAATATACTCCAGTGGAAATGTTTCTTAGTTCAGTGACTAACAACATGAGAGATACAGATGAGTAAGAAGGATTACAACAGGTGCCAAGCACGCCAGGCTACCATGAGTTAATGTGAGCTCTGCATGACTAAACTATGAATCAGCCTCTTCATTTCCAATATCAGAAAGCTGATTCATAACATTTCGGTTTCTCATTCATAAAATTCTATGCTGTTCATAAAATGTATAACATGGGAGATTCTCATTAGAGGAACACACTTCCTCTCCAGTCACTGGGAGGTTAAACATGCTGAAACACATAGTTTTATTCCCCAGAGGGAATGGATATTGATAGGGCTGCAGTTTTGTCATGGCAGTCGCCGGCCTTTCTCAAAGTTAATGCAGGAAATTCAAAGTGTTCTCACGAGGCAGATGCAAGCACACACATGGCCTAATTGGAACAGGGAAGTGACTAGGCTGTGTGCGCATGTGCCGGTCTCTCTCAAGGTTAATGTGGGAAATTCAAACTATTCTCGCGATGCGAGCACACAGCCTAGCCACTTCCTGCATTCACAGGTAAGGTTTTTTTTTATATTACGGCTCGATTTAGACATTGGAAATGTTGGGAAGCATGAAGAGGTACAGTTGAATTTCCCAACCCATGACTTATCCCAACATTTTCCCATAAACTGTGTCATTCATTAAATTTACCGCAACTGCTTCAAGATTTTTGACACAACAACAACACGATTACATTTGTATAGCGCCTTTCACGTCGGGAGGACATCCCAAAATGCCGGGCCAAATCTGTAGCCCTAATTATTTGGCATGGATGCAGCACAGCTCGAGCAACAATAGAGAGAGGGCTCAAACATGGATAGAAATTGTTTGTCCTGGTACACTGTCATACAACAGCTTTGATTTTACCTGTAAACAGCTGAAGATGGCAAAGAGATAATGGAATGCCATAGTATCATTATTTACAGCCATTAACCCAAGCAGCCAAGTAGCACTGATCAGCAGCAGCAACAGAAAAGCTGTCCTCAGGCTGAATCTGAAAGGAACAAAAGCTTCAGTATTGATCCACAAAACTAGACCCTTCAGTTGGCTATAGTCAATCGAGGCAGTTTCTGTAGCTGGTCATGGCACTGACTGCTAGAAAATCTATGGTTCAAAACATTCTCCTCACAGAGGGAGTTTGCTAAAGATTATCTACAGGTCTCTCTTTCTGTTTTCTTAATGGCCGTGACTTTTATGCTTTTTTTTAAATATACACCCTCGGAAAGAAAAAGTTAACCGTCTGTAAAAAGTCAAAAAAAGAAAAACAAGTTCATGTACTAGTGTCACAGAGGTGACATGACTCTGTTTTGATCAGCCGGGCCCTGCACGGAAACCCATCGCCATGCTTGAGTGACCAAACGAGACCAAAAGATCCACACAGAGACATCATCACTACATGACAGGAACATTTGCTCTATCCATTAACAATTACAGGGACTCTCTGGGGTCTAGGCTGCATAGTGCAATAAGCAAACAAACCCTTCACCTCTGGGGCTTGGGGTCAATTACATGTCAGACTGATGGGGCGAGGGTCTTATCTCTGGTGGCTGTATGGGTCCTATGCAGAGTGTACTTCAGACCAGCTCCTGGTAACAGTGGAGTAGATGATTGCCTATAATTTGCTTAAAGATTGATGCTGAGTGCTAAACGTAATTTTAATAATAATAATCTTTGCATTTGATATAGCGTCATTCAGATATCTCAAAGAGTTTCACAGAATGCATTGTGAACTAGATTGACTGTGTATTTTGTAGGCAAAATTTCATTCCTTAGCACTGATGCCCCACGGAAATATAAATCAAGAGGAACTGCAAATTGAAAAAAAATTCTCAAGTAGTGATAACATTAGATGCAGGAAACTAATCCAAAAGAAACCACAAAAGTGTATACGCATGCATAAAATCATGGAAATGTACCAAATTTCACTCAGCACCTGAAAGAGAAAGACAGGGTAATGTTTGGGTGTGACCCTTCATCAAACATTACCCCCCTTTTACCTTTCAAAAGACTTGCTTTGTAGTTTCAGGACCTCCTGATTTTATTGCACATTTCCACCAAACCCTTTTTTTTCTCTTTGCCTTATTTAGTGGTTACATGTTCATCTGATAATTTCACAAAGGCCCCACATGCTGCCTGGATCTAACCCAGTGCTCTCTCTTTCATTGCAGATTTCAAATTCGGAAATAATATTAAAAATAAACTTACGTAACACCAGTCTTTTCAAAGGATCTGTGTCTGGGCCCACAAGATGCTTTAGCAGCTAGTATAAATATGATAATGTTTACCTGAAGGAGCAGAAATTAAAATTAAAAAACTTCCGATGTATTGCGCCATACCCAGAAAATACAACTTATATATAATATATAGTGCGTCTCAGAGTGCTAAACAGTGGTGAAACAACAAAAGCAGGGGCAACAAAGTATAAGCATTGTCATCTTTGGGAATATAGATACACCCAGTTCCAACACAGACTAACTGGTGGCACAAGCAATGGAAGAGTTTGAAAGAAAGAAGGAACTTCTTTCTTTCAAGATAAAGGTTTTACATATATGTCTTGATAAGAAGAATACTCACAATGACCACTCCGCAGATGGGGCCAGCAAAACTCCAGATGAGTGTATCATGGACAGACAGCCAGCAAAAGTCAGGGTTCCCATATCCTTGTGGATCCAGCCCCATAGCCAGACCTGAAATTAACACAAGGAGTGTTTTCTGGAGTTTACCACTTCCTCTTATTAAAAGCACCCGAGCCCTAAAAATCTCATGATGTTTGCCTTATGATCTTTCTTAAAATTTAAGATTGTGCAGAACTTTGGACAATTGAAATCAGTCTTAATGTGCAAAACAGTTTTCCAAAGGTCTTTTTGAACTTGAATGTTGGGTCTGGGGTCACACGTTGAACAGGCAGACATCCCCTCTCTCCCTTCACTCAACGTAACTTATTGTAGGTTGTACCTGAGAAAGTAGAAATACTTGAAACACCTTAAGTGCTTTTCCAGGCATTTACAGTTATCAACTCGTGTAATAATGTCTTCTGTTTAATACGGTTACCCCAGAGTAAAATGTACCTGTTATAATGGCAGGAATTCCCCAGCCGATGGCATAGTAGAATCTCATTCGCCCGTAGTTCACATTCCTGACCTCGGTGAGCATGCGGTAAATGTGGAAACCCTCCACAAATGTCCAGGCAAATGTGCACATGTAGAAGTAATGGAGCAGGAAGGCGATCGCAGTGCAGACAAACTGCAGGAGAATAAACTCAATCAATGGTGACCAATCCTCAGTAAACCTCAGCAACCTTATTATGCTGCTCTGTGTTCAAAACCCATTCCCCCCAACAGGAGGGAATTTAACTTTATACTGCAAACTGGACTTTCTTCTTTTGATACCAACGATGTTAAAGTTGGAAGCAGCAGGCTGCTCCTATTAATGTCATGACTTTGCTCAATTGTCATTCAAAAGGGAAGCTTTAAACATCAATGTTTGCAATTATCAGCTTTTAGTTAAAAAAGTTTAAAATGCAGATACAAATTATGCTGTTATCCAGGATCTATATAAATAAATTATTTTTTGAATTGGACATTTTAATGATCTATGAAACAATCCATATAATACCAAACACTATACAATATTTGATGATCTAATACGGTAATATTTTATAAACTCCTCCAAATGTATCTTTTTTAATAAGAGTAAAGTAGACTTGGACGAATGCTAAACACAAATTGTTATGAATGTTTTTCTTTCATATAAACAAGCAAATTTTTCACTGATAAAGTGTGGCACAGAATGTATCAGTCCCAAGTTACACATTGAATGTAGTTCTATTCAAATACTTTCACATTCCAGAGAATTAAGGCACCTACATTAACAAAGTATTATCCCACTGTTCATAATCCTCGCTTTTGATGTAGCACTTTTCACTTTGGGAGGACATCTCAAAATGCTTCACAGAATATACTGTAAAGTGCAATAACTGTGTATTTTTGTATCCAATCGCAGCAAGCAAACAACAAATCTACTTACACTTAACAGAACAAACAATGTTATCGACGGGTCTAAGCAAACATTCTTTTTTTTTCGGGATGGGAGGGGATAAAGAGAGAGAACATTCAAAAATGCACGATAAAGGGTTAAAAGGACAGCATGGCATGGATTTGTTGGGTCAAATGGCTAGTCTTCTTAAGATATTATTCTATGTGACATAATAATGTACCTTGCAAAACCCTATCGGACAAGAGGAGGCTTCGGTGACATAGCACAACACTAAGCGTGTTGGATCCTAACAAAGTGGAAGTAGTTTGTATTGAGGTGGATAAAATGCAAGGTCTATTAGACCTGCTCCGTGGTTAACTTTTCCAGAAAATGAATCATGGTAAAACTCCACTGGTAAAACTCCACTCCAAAGCCCTGCCCTTTTACAGCCCACCAAATGGGTAATGTGTAAACAACTCAGAATGTGGTTTACTTTGCTTCTAGAGGTATTTTGGCTAAATTATTGTGTGAATTATTAACATTCAACAGCTCATGAATATTGTAAATGGTGGATAGTTAGCAGTTTGGAAGCAAACACCAAAGGACTGGATTGGTGGAACCATATTTTGAGTGAGCATCTTATGCACATTGTCAGATGCACATCAAACACTCACATATTATCCAGCAGAAAGATCACGCAAGTTGACTTAATAAGTGTTCCTTTCTGCTCATCTGTCAAGCAGCCCTTTTGATCTGTCCTTCACTTGCATTGGCAGTATGTTTACACTAGGTGTTGCTGTTGTTTTTTCCCCCCTGGAACTGTCACCAGTTGCTAAGATATCTTGATGGATTTCAATTTATTTTGGAAGTTCTTTGAATTGCAGTCTAGTTCCTCCAATGGCCCAGTGGGTCCTGCATAGTGTAGCCTAAGTTTGAGGCTATGGGTTCAAATCTGGGTTAGCTGATTTTAGCCAAGCCAGGAGTTAGGGCGCAACAGTTGCCATCTCAATATCCAGGGATTAATGGTATATTTTACTGCAGATAATAATTATCCTTGCATTTGATACAACGTCTTGTCAAGTCATTGAGATGATAGAACCGTACAAATTTAAAGCACAGAAGAAGGTCGTTCGGTCCATCGTGTCTCAATGTGTTTCAAAGAAATTTTGCTGTGAAATGCAAACTGTGTATTCTGTACATGACACGATGCAGTTGACACTGAATTCTTGGAAATTACCAAGGAAAACAGTATTAAGGAAATTTAAACACTTACTGGATTATCGGTTTGATTAATTCCAATGAGGAACACAAGCTCAGAGAAGAAGAGAGCGGCTACCAGGTTTTTGTGGATATCATGAAGGTTTGAGCGCAGGATTCGGACAAGGACGAGGAACAAGAATGTGACAAACAAAGCGAACAAGGAGATTGAGACGGTGGTGTATGTGACAATCTTCAATGGCAACACCTCACCGTGCTGAAAAACAAAACAAAAATATCACACTTATTCGTATTAGTATTACAGGCACAGTGGGACACAGAGATAGATACAGGCAGCATACTTGTGACTCATGCATTACATGAACAAATAGCTAATAAAACTCCTAAGAAAAAGTCCATATGTGCAAGTCTGTAAATAGAGGGTAATGTTCAGAAGCTATCAAAGATGAGTACTAGTGACAGGCACCTTCATTCCCACAAGCCGTAGCAATACAGGAACCCAGATGTTGCTGTATTACTACTCTACCCCCCTCCGACTTCACTCAATGCTGTGACCGTGGGAACCTTGAATCCTCATTAGTTTTCCATTGCCATTAGTGAAGTCTGTCAGACAAACACTCCTTTCACTGGATAGAAAAACGAGGCAGACAATTACATGAATGGTCTAAAAAAGTAAAATAACTATCTAATGCCCATTATTAAAATACTGAGAACTTCAGGATGTATTAAATTTTCATATCAATCACAAATGCTTTTATGTAAGAGCATTCTCATTTCTAGTGAGTGCTGAGAGCTGCAGTGTATGTGTTGAGGCTTGACACACTTTCATCCACAATATCAATTTTACTGTAATAAAATATTACCAATAGACAAAGAAACGGCTGCTGCAGGCTATGTATTTTTTTTAGCCTGCTCAGGTCCTACAAATTACTCTTATTCTTGGCAAATGAGCTGAAAGGAGAGATGTGTCTCTGCCCATGTTTAATCAGTGGTAATTGTGTTCGATAAACTGGAAAATCTCAATTGTCCTGCTTTGGGGCACAATGGAAGCTTTATATGTCTGATCATGTGATAAGTTCTAACTCACCTCTCGCTTGGAGATATCCATTAGCACTGCGAAGCTGCTCATGTGATTGCACTGGCAGCTGATATGGGTTTTGTTTCTGAGGACCAGTTCACACCCTCTGGAGGACCATCCTCCTGTTCCTCCAATCCTGTCAAAGGGAAGAAATGAAAGGATTTACAACAGAGTCAAGAAGCACTGGTTTGGTTTTGAACTGAACAGCTGTGAATCTTCTAAATTATTTGTTTTATCTGGTCTAGAGATACACATTCCCAATACCATCTGTTTATTTAATTTTTTTTCCTTTGAAAGTCAAGTTAATTATTTTTGAGCTTTAAGTAATTTTATGGAAAATAGAACTGTCTATTTATTGAAGGGACAAAAGTTGCCACAATTGATTTTACCAATTTGCTTGCTCAATGTCCTCACTAAGCTGATCAAGGAATAGAGAGCACTTGCATCACACAGAGAATAGTTTATAAAATACAAAATTACATTTGTAAAGCTCCTTTCACGTTGGTAGGAGGTCCCAAGGTGCTGAACAGTCAGGGATTAGGGATTAGGACCCGAATGGGGTGTTGGAGGGCAGAGAGAGCAGCCGAAGGCACGGTTGAAGAGGAGGGTCTTGAGGCGTGCCCTGAAGAAGGCAAGGGAGGGAGCGATGCAAAGGGAATGTGAAATGGAGTTCCAGAGGGTGGGGGCAGAGAGGCTGAAGGCCTGCCTGCTGGTGGTGGAGCGGGCCGGGCGGGGAACTTGGAGCAGGCTGGAGCCTACTGAGCGGAGGGAGCAGACAGATTGATAAGGTCAGAGAGGTAGGAGGGGGCAATGCCATGGAGGGCCTTGAAGGTGAGGACGAGGATTTTGAACTCGATTCTCTGAGGGATGAGGAGTCAGTGGATTTGGGCGAGGGTGAAAATAATGATATAATTAATTTGGCCCATTAAGCTGGTTCCTTCCACAAACAGCACATCTTGTACTACTGTGGACAGGCCTCTTCTACTAATTCCTGGGGTAAAGTTCTGTATTGATACTTCCTGATCTCCAAAGATACTCCCAAAGATAATGAAGCTAAAATTCTACTTATGTCCTGGAACCACCTTTATTACCATTCTCTAATACAATGATGCCCTTTTAAATGGGTGCCTACAAATGTTCATAAAATTGTTTTGAAGTACCTTTGAGACACATGGCATTGCTTGGGACCTTTCTTGATCAGTTTCAAATGGACCTAAAATCTTTCAGTGACTGGACAATTATCTTTTTTTCCGGAGTTAAATCAAAACCCTCCTGTCTTGCATTTTAAATCAATTGTCTGCTGGCAAATATGCATTAAGAAGAACATTTAACCTTTTATATATATCAGATAATTTGCACAATGCTTAGCTGATCAGTTCAACAAATTCCATAGAGAAAAATAAAAGACAATGGTTTTCTGTTCCACTTACACCAGAGTGTGGTTCCAGAACACACACAGAGGTTTAGACCTTTCCTCAGTCACAAACAAACGATAATTTAGTGTAATGGGCTTCTCGAGCTGCGGGGGCAAAAGCTGGTCTTCAGTGTAAACAGTAGCACTTATGATGGGTGTGTTTATGACTGGCCGGTTGGGTACTCTGAAGACAAGGAAATGAGTTAAGAAACAATCATCCATAATTCCAGGTAAAAGAAGACCTGCAGCAACACTTGTGATTTAATTTGAATAAATACAAATCATCTTAAAATGAAAAATGCTGGTAGTTGTAACTGGTCTTCATTTCACACCATTTATCAGTGTCCAAAGAAAATACAATTCTCATGTTAAGCTGCTCTACAATTCAGCGAGTGTCTACAAAATCAGATTTCTCATATTTGTGCAAGGGAACTTACTGGATATTGATGAACAATATTAGAATAACTGGGATAAGTCTGACAGAATGGAAATTATCAATGCTAAATGCAGTTACTAATACAAAGCATTAGATAACTGTGATTTTGGTCACCTTCTCCCTCCACCTCTCCCTTTCCTGTTGTCCCAGCTAACGCACTTTGAAACATTCTCTTACATTAAAGGCGGTATATGTATTGTCCAGGTGGGATGGCTGGCCATTATGGCTTTGGCTCAAAGGGTTGAATACACATCTACACTTCCAAGGGTCATTGGTGAGCCAGACAGATTGGTCAGCCATCAATAATGTCTTGGATAATAGCAGATTTCTCATGTTTTTTCCAGGTGAATCCCAGATCTAGTTAAACCCAAAGTCCCCAGACTTGGCACAATCCACGGTATCAGCAACTCTTGAAAGTTTTTCCTTCTGATTTGTGATCGATATCTGAAACACATGCTTTCTGGTCTGTATCCTAGTAAACCTAGTACTCTACATGTTACTTTAGGAGCCATATAATGTCTAGTTCCACGGCGCCTCAGGAACTATATGTGTGGAGAACCTGCAACTGCTCACCTCATACTTCTCCGATCAGGATCATACCTCTCTGGTAGAAGCCATCCCAGAGATCTGTATACAATCACCACAGCAACGGCATAATGCTGAGGCCCTTCTGTACTTCTTTTCTTCCTTTTTGATGACAAGTCTTTCGACCTTCCGGTTATGTTGAATTGAGGGAAATAGCCCTGCCCTAAGAATATATTACTGAGAGTTACTTTAGGACACCAAACATCAAGGAATGATTCTTTCAACTCGGGAGTTAAATCTCAGTTACAAATCCATGTCATCCCTGAATAGTAAGGCTTCTTAAAATAAAATGCTTGATTTAACAACTTCTTGCATGTGTCACTCACTCCATTGAAGAATTCAGAGAATTTATTATATCACAGCATAGTCAAACTGGGCTCAGAGTTCAATGAATCATCCAAAGGAGGTACATTCCTGAGGAAGAACAGGCCTTCATGCATACACACCATTTGTTTGGCTTTACTTGAAAAATACCAACATTTCTAATAATCAACATAATACTGTAACTACCACCTTGCACCTTGGAATGGACTTGGAGCTACATAGCTGTTGATTTGACTCAGGTTTATTCTACAATTTGCTGATGTATCAACTCACTGATGCAATTTAGAGACACTTGTCCCTTATTCAGTCTATGACAATTCGCATTATAATGACACGAGGAGTAGTTTTTTCAGTGTTTTAATTTATCAGCTTGCTTAGAAGCCTAAGTGTGTGAATGAACTTCTATTTAAGGGATTACGGTAAACTACAGTAAACTAAGAAAAGAAATGTCACAGTGAAGTGTCTCGCTACTGAATGTGAACAGCTACTTTACAGTTAAAGAATTTGAAGTCACAGAACATTAACCTGGTGGGGGTGATACAGTGAGTTTGAGATAACACTTCAACTGAACTCTTCACTTCAAGGGATTGTAATTTTACTCCCTAGAAGCAGTTTACATGAAAAGATGAAACGAATTGTCCAGAAGTATTGTGCAAGGTTGAGGAATCAGTGATAGGTAAAATAGTCTTAAATTTCAAACCGCTGCGAATTTCTGAGACATTGAAGACATTTTTTTTTACACACCGGTATTGACAACCAATTCTTACTTTCCAATAGAAATCATTCGAGAGACAAGAAAGCGAAGAATATCGGTTTGTTCCTTTCTCTAACTTTCTCCCTTACTCTCCGGAAGATGGATCTCTTGGGATATGGCTTCACAAGAATTGACAATCCTTTGGTACCTCATCCCAAGTGGCAATTCTTCATGTGTCTGCTTAAATATGTGCTTTGGTTGGCAATTGAGCTCTGGAGTCATGCTAGCTGATCCCCAAATCCACACTTTCCAAAAAGGGCCACAAGATATAAATCAGAAGAGGAAATCCTGGCTGACTTATTTTGGCCTCTCTAGCCCAGATACACTGAGGTCAATTCATCTGTGCGCACCCCCCAGCCCCAGTTGAGATTTAGCTAACTCACGACAGAATAGCAACTAAACCTGCATTCATCTGGTCTGTACATCGTAGTGCTGCTGGGCCATTGGGGAAGCCTGTCTGCAACAACTGTAGACCTCCCTGTGTACAAGAACATGACTCACCTCTCAGGAGAAAAAGAAATAAATGTCAAACAGCTTTGGAAAGAGAAAGGTTAACTAACATTTCAAGCATGGACCTTCACCAAAGCTGTGGAATCTGTTTCACCTGCTGTGGATTTCCAGAGATTTCTCAGGATGAATGTTGTTGTATATTACCAGAGAAAAGAGGATTGGGGGGGGACTCTTTAAAGAGATGCAAAGAAATAGACATTTGGAGTTTAGAACCACAGACACTCAGGATTTCATTTTGATCCCCAGCTTTCAAAGGTACCTTGTCTGGACACAGAGCCAAAAGGCAATTAAATATTTTTCTCACCTTCAATTTTGAAAAGACTTTCTGGAAAGTATACAGTAGATTCAAGGTCTTCTGGAATCTTTTCACGGATTTTCTCAAACTGTGGTACACTGGCACCCAGGAATTTAGGCTCCAGAAGGTCAACAGCAATGACTTGAATAGAAGAATTACAGGTACATAAATGGTCAGAGTATTGAAACACAAAGCACAAGGCTGTCCCACCACTCTGAGGTTTGTCGAGTCGTGATCTGCATAGTTAGAAGATCTGAATTTCTCAATTAATTTGAAATGGATTAGTTTAATATATATTGTCCAAAATGTTACATCTAACCTGCTCTAATAAAATGCTATTAATTGTACTATTTGAACAAAGATACTGCATTATTTTCTATGGGGTGATAACTTCTATTATCTGTTATCTATGTTACTGTTACACTCTAAAGGGGAAAGATTCCACTTAGATCTAGACTAACTATTTACGTAGCAATTTAAAGTGTCCAGAATTTGGCAAATTCTTAAATACAGCCTTCACCTGGAAGCAGGTTTTCTGTAAATTCCTTTGAAAACTTAAGACTCAATTTAGACTGATTTAGAATTTAGACTGAATTCAATAATTTGCTAAATGTCATAAAATATTGTACTACATAAATAGTGTAAATCTAGTCCCAGGTGAAATTTCTTTTCTTAACGTGCTTAAAACAGCGCTCCTATCTTCTATATGAGAATACTGCAAATAATCTTTATCACTAAAGTAACTTTCACAGAAACAGTGTAAAAAATATTGTTTACTTTATATATTGAAAACAATTAACAAACTTACTCACTTTCCAAAAATAACACTTCATCCTTTACCCAGGATGTTTTTCTCCCCAAATCTCCTCCCAATGTTCCAGTCAGTGAACCTGCACAGGACCATTCACTCTTCCCAGCAGAGGTCAGTCTAATAATCTCTCGTGCCTTCACCAAAACCGCTCTAGATCTATGTGCAGGGAGCTGAGATTCCTGGGCAATTACTCGTCCCCACCCCACTTTGGACAGTGCCAGAATCTCCCCAGATGACAAGCCATGTACCAGACGCCCACTGTTTGGCGCCAACCACCACATCCAAATTTTGGATGAGCAACATATCCCATTACTGTAGAGTTCCCTAAGTGTTTTTAATACACCAGCTCATTACAAAGTGAACGTTTTAAAAGAACTGCCAAACAGAAAGATTGGACGATACAGTGATAATGCATTCTGTATCCTTCTGAACATGTCTCGTTACTTACTCAGGTTGGGTGTGACAATGGTGAAGGGTCGGAGGTAGGTTTTCCTCATGTTTCGTGCTATGGTGTGAGCATATTCCTCGTAATGCTTCATTAGGTGTGCTGTACCTCCTTCAGTCCGCTGGATTTGTTCCCAGTACTCTTTGTTCTCAAGATCCAGAATGGCACTGGCTGTTCTTATTATATTCTGAAAAGCCATGGCAACTATTTAAAACATGTAAGTTTACCTTCCAGCTGAGTTCATACCAGGGACACAAAGTCGAAAATCCTTCTTTTTACATGTGCTTTGGCCGACCTTTCTGCCTCAGGTAGGCACCAGACAAAAGGAGGTTTCGAAACTGCGGCCGACATCCGTCCCAGGTATCAATGAACAAGAATATTAGTCATTGCAATGCTGCATTAATCACATCTAATGTTTTAAGTTTTACTAGCAGTTCTGGCCAATGATGTGGAATAAAGGCCTCTCTGAGAATGAGCTCCTAAGCTAAGGTCCGCTTGCAATGCAATTAATACCTCATTTGAAAATATTAATAGTTCTTTTTGGTTATTTGAACTCAACAGGAAACAGTTTAAAGTGAGCTTAAACCACAAACATTGAGGTACTGAAGGTCAGAATCTCATTGGCTCAAATGATCATCTCCAATCATTGCCAGCAATTGCTGGTAATAAGCTTTAAACGCTGACATAACAGGAGCCCAGAGCTGAGGGCATAGGTTACCCTGGCACCTGGAAAAGAAGTCTTTACAATGGTATTTAACATTGAGGTTTACATTAATGACGCAAAGCAAATCATAAAAATGTCAAACATTTGTATGTAAAATGATTATACCCATTGTACTTTGATACCATAAGACGACTCAGAGCAGCTCATGGACGTAAACATTTCTTCCAGTTTCCCAACCCTTCCAAGAGAGGCACGACTTTAACAGCGTGTTGCATGAAATGCTAACGAGTGGATGCAAATTATGTATCCATCCATGGCAAAGTAAGCGAGTGTTCCCATACACTACACCACCGAGCATATCACTGTAAACATTGGGGTAAAGCTGGATATTCAATATTTGTCTCATCAAATGTGCTGAAGGTGGACGTCAATGCTTTTCACAATTCATATCTTGAAGATAGTGGCCTTGGACTACAGGTTAGCAAAAGTAACAAAAACAGAGCTCAGCTTGTGTAAATAGATCAAGGATCCTGAAAGCCAGCAGCAGAGATTCCCACCAGCACTGTCTTGATAACTATACTCAAAGCCAAGGTGGATTGTGGTGGATAATATCACACAAAGCTGCATTCTATGACAAGGGCGTCTACTGCACCTTCCCCCAGGAAAAATGGGGACAAGCTGAACTAGATCTTGTTCACAATTTGATCGTGTCTCACCATAAGGTTGGGTTTTCAGATTAAAGGTTCTGGTTGGGTGTGCTAACTTTTACTGGAATCAGGTGTAATTGATACATTGCACCTTAGGCTCCAGCTTGCTGCGAGACAGTATCTTCCTTTCCCTGCAGTTCAGTGGCTTTTTGCACAATAGTGAAACCAGACGATATGATAAACACAAGAAGAACACCAGACACATCATGCTGAATCATGGGAACTCTGATTTGAAAATATTTGCCATCAGAATGGAGCTCCTTCAGGTCAACGTGACATACTTTTGGTTTCCTTAATAAGGAATCCTATGAGAACTTGTTAAGACTTATTAGACCCCACTGTTGGCCCAAATACACAAGTCACAGAATGCGGGTTTGCTCCAAATCCTAAAATCTCCCAATTTCACAGGACAGAATTGTGAAGTGTTCTGTACTTCATTATACACTTCAGATCCGACCACACAATGTTCAGAAAGGGAAATGCCCAAACCAACTAGGGTAAAAAATGCAAATCTGAATGAAATTGAGCTGTGGAGCTTTACAGAATGCCAGGCTCTAAGCAGACAAAGATAGTGAGTCTTCTCTTACACGTTGTTGAATGGGGGAATTAATTAAATGGTAGTTTTCAGCTTTATGCAGACTCCATTTCTGACACCTGAATACACTGATTGCTAGGTTACATGAAGTGTAATTAAGCTTCTGCCTGACATTTTCCAAAGCTTGGGGCTTAACACAATTAACTTGTGAAAAGAAGACATACATTCATTCTATTGCTTTGTGTTACAATCTGATCCAAGAAAAGTGGACAAAGACCTCTATCAAATATGCGTACAGTTGTGCGACATAAAGGGACTGCCGATGCCTTAGAGACAGTGCAGAGAACAAAGAAAATAATGTCTAGCATAAGAGCGATGAACTCAGAGCAGACCGGAGCCAGAGAAACGGAGGGTACGGGCAGGTAAGTAGGGGGATAGTAGGTCGGAGAGGTAGGAGGGAGCAAGGCTGTGAATGGCCTTGTAGGTGAGGATGAGGATCTTGAATTCGATCCTCTGGGGGATGGGGAGCCAGTGGAGGCGAGCGAGGGTGGGAGTGATGTGGTCCCGAAGCCTGGTGCAGGACAGTACACGAGCTGCAGAGTTCTGAATGACCTGCAGGGTGTGGAGGGAGGTGCCGGGAAGGCCGGCGAGGAGAGAGTTCCCATAGTCCAGCCTTGAGGTGATAAAGGCGTGGACTAGTGTTTCAGCAGCGTGAGGGGTGAGGTAGTGCTGTAGTCTGGCGATGTTCCGGAGGTGGTGGAAGGCGGTACCAGTTATGGCGCGGATATGAGGAAGAAAGGACAGCTCAGGGTCGAACAGAACACCGAGGTTCCTGACAAGAACACTAAGGCAGCAGGACAAGGGGGCACAAGTTCTGGATTTGAAATTGCAGGGCAATTTCAGAGCAAATAGCAGAAAGTATTTCTCTACCCAGATGGTAATTAAAAAAATAATATGGTCACTCAATCCACGACTGCTGTGTGCAATTGACTGCCTCATTTAGCCCAGAAAATATGTAGTCAATTCACCTTACAGTATATTCCGTGAAGCACTTTGAGACGTCTTGAAGATGAGGTGCTATATCAAATACAAGGATTACTATTATTATTCTTATAGGAATAGAGAACACTATTGTTGAATCCAGTTGCAATGTGATATAACTCACAAGGACACCATTGCAGCTCAAAGAGCCACATTCTATTGCAGGTTAGACGTTTCACTTGAAAACTAACAATAAAGCTGCAGGGGAGAGAACCAGTTGGATTGCATCCCTGCAAACAAACTATATGTCAGATTCATTCTGGCTTAGTTAGTTGGAGTCAGAATATATTATTATATTATTATAATAACTGGAATGGGTTCCCTAGAAGGGTGGTTGAGGCTATGTTACCGGAGTCATTTAAAAAATGGCTTAATGCTGTAATGTGAAGCTTGGAGAGTATGTGTTATGGAAAGATGAGATCAACTGGGTTGATGGGTATTCTTCATGCATATATCACTATTGTGATCTGCTAAAATAACACCTCTCAGCCTCTTAAAATAACACCATGCATCCATGGAAGGAAAGCCTTTGAAGATGACTTTGTAGATGACAAGCTGCTTGTGTTTGGGTGGGGAAATGGAAATCATATAATATACCTCATTGAACTCTACATCCTGAGTGGCAGCCAAATCGAAGTCCTGCTGTGTGCCCTCATACTGAAGAATCCTCTTCATCAGTTCATTTGCAATCTTCACATCGTTCCCGTAATATGTAACTGTGTGTTTGGTGGCATTGCGCAGCATGTTAGCCAGCTGCTTTGATTTATGTGCATCCATCTTTGTTTCATTGCGATAAAGCTTTTCCATCTGTTTATAAAATATAAAGTATCGAGTGAAGAGTTTGTGTATGTGTGCAACACATAATGCTAACACAGCCATTTCCACACAATGCTAGCACATGGTCATTTCCACACGGTGCAGGAGCATTCACACAATGCTAACAGGCATTTCCACACAGCGTTTACACATCAGACTATTTGTTCCTACTACTTCACATTCAGACACAGTAAACAAACAGAATTTGCTATTTCCAATGTTGCCCCGATGGAGGCATAAAAAGTGAAGTTATATGCGTCCAATTATTTTCCAACTTAATAACAAAACTGGCATGTGCAGTAAAGGGACTTACGATTATCTTGAGTTCGGCAAAGGCAAGTGTTGTACAATTGAAGAGATCTGCGGGCAGCCAACCTTTTTCTTCATTACAGTGCCGGATTGCCGTTCCTGTATAAAACAAAGCATAAAGGTTCCATAACTAGAGATGCTTTACTCACTTTATTAATTATACTGTATATTCAACTCTTACAGGGCGGCAGCAAAATAACGTCAAAAGTAACAGTCAAAGTAATCCTTTTTTTAACAACGACAACAAAATACATTTATAGAACACCTTTCATGTCGGGAGGATGTCCCAAGGCGCTGGACAGTCAGGGGTCAGGACACGAGCATAAGGGAGGCGTGGGGTAACGTTGAGGGAAGGCAGAGAGGTGGGAGGGCGACCAAAGGCACAATCGAAGAGAACTTGAGACCGGCCTTGAAGGAGACAAGGGAGGAAGTGAGGCAAATGGACTGTGGGATGGAGTTCCAGAGTGTGGGGCAGAGAGGTTGAAAGCCCGGCCACCAATGGTAGGGCGGGTCGGGCGAGAGACATGGAGCAGGCCAGAGCCTGCTGAACGGAGGGAGAGGGCAGGTTGGTAGAGAGTCAGCAGGTCAGAGAGGTAGGAGGGGGCAAGGCCTTGGATGGCCTTGAAAGTGAGGACGACGATCTTGAATTCGATCCTCTGAGGGATGGGGAGTCAGTGGAGTCGGGCGAGGGTGGGAGTGATGGGGTCACGGAATCATAACAATATGACAATTCACTTACTCAGACAACACAATGTATATTATAGAAAGAGCGAAAGAAAGGTATGATTAAGAATTTTTGTGCTATGGAATGAATATTGCCTGTGTAAAATAACACTTAATGGTGCAGGATTGCTCAACTGTCCAGGTGCTCGTAAGGGCTCCAGAAAGAACTACAGGGCAAAATACTGAAACACAATACATTCATACAGCTCAAGACATTCTTTCACCCATGGGAGACCACAGCCTAGCTCACACTCACCTATAGCGTGCTTGGATTATGGGTCCAATACTTTCATCATAGAATTTCCTGCACTGCTGAGATTGATAGGCTCTTATGTTAGCTTGTAAATTAAATGTTCTTTGAGAACAGTTCAGCTCTTAACTGTGCTGAAGAACTGCATTGACGTACGTTGTTTATCAACAATCCAAGTCGAACATATATGCAGCCAGGGTGGAGGTTTGGCTGAGAGTTGAGTTGCTGAATGCTTGAGCTTATTCTCAGTTTGGAAAAACCTTGGTCCTCAAATCATTGTTGACAATCTTGTTTGTTCTAACTATTGATCTGACTTGTATATCAACCTGCAATCTGCAACCCCCTTGTTTTAAATCAAAAGTGTCACTCCACTGCCAGTCAGACGTTCCAGGATAAGTTTCGATTGGAGTGCGTTCAGCCATTGACTCAGGAAGACCCAGCTCCCTCAGCACATCTTATAGTACTTACTGCTTGATTCAGGACAGGTTCGGGAATTTGCAGCATAATGCAACACGGACATCACAGAGGAGCTTAAACTAAATCTTTAAAACATTCATGGCACAGTGGTAGCCATTTTAATAATACCTCCTGCATGAAAATAAATATCACTTTTTAAAAAAATTCAAACTGCTTATTTTCATCTCTGTGGTAAAAGCTACGCTTATGAATTTTAATTCCCCTGACTGGAAAGATTTTGGGTTAATTTATACTGTATTAAATCAATGAGATTTAAAGAAATAATGAACACTAGAGCCAGTCAGTGCCCTGACTTAGTCTCATTACATTATGTTTTGTTGGTTTCTTTTAGAAGTCTCCTACCGCAGTGTTGGGTTAGGTTTCTAACATACTTCAATACGTGAAGTATCAAGTGTCACGCTGAGCTCTCCATTTCTGGAGAGAAAACTTACAAACGTCAACATCAGTGGCAATTGGTCGCAAACTGACTTTGGTTTGGCTACATTATCCTATTTCAGTTTATGCTGAGTTTGGATGTGCTCTGTACAGACACGTTTCCCATGTCTGTAAGCCCAGAGCAGTCCACTCAGACTGTTACGGCATGTTAGCATGTTTGCAAAAGGTTTAGAGTACAAGAGTAGGGAAGTCTTGCTGCAACTGTATAGGGCCTTGGTGAGACCGCACCTAGAGTATTGTGTGCAGTTTTGGTCTCCTTATTTAAAAAAGGACATACTTGCCTTAGAGGGGGTACAGCATAGATTCACTAGGTTAGTTCCTGGGATGAGGGGACTGACCTATGAGGATAGGCTGAATAAACTAGGGCTGTATTCTCTAGAGTACAGAAGAATTAGGGGAGATCTTATTGAAACATATAAGATTCTTAAAGGGCTGGATAAAGTAGACACTGACGGTCTGTTTCCCCTGGTAGGAGAATCTATAACCAGGGGTCACAGTCTTAAAATTAAGGGTCAGCCTTTTAGAACAGAGTTGAGGAAACATTTCTTCACTCAGAAGGCTGTAGATGTTCAGTCCTTGAACATCTTCAAGGCTGAGACTGATAGATTTTTAAAAAATAGAGGGATGAGGGGATATGGGGATAGGGCAGGTAATCAGAGTTGGGTCTGAAGATCAGCCATGATCTTATCGAATGGCGGGGCAGGCTCTAGGGGCCGAATGGCCTACTCCTGCTCCTAATTCTTATGTTCTTACTAGGTAATATTTATGCAACTTCAAGACAATAGACTTTTAAATGTAGGATCACACAATGATGAATAGAATTGTAGGTCCACAAATAATACAACCTCCCTTACTGCCCAGGGGATACACCATACAGATCAGAGGTCATCTGATGTAATGATCCATATCATCATTTCACCATCACCTTCAGTGTGATACCCACGTCCAGAGGAGCTAGCTTCTCTACCTGTAGGGCTCCATGGCAACTATCTACACTACAAGGCTCACGCGGGTGGGAAACAATGGAGACCATCTGGAATGGAGCCTAAAGAGCTCAAGTCTATAGCACAATACTGACGTGCATCAGGTATCATATCTGAATGAAAGTGTTAAGTTGGTGGATTTCTGATCTGAAATGCTTTAGTAATATACTTTGGAACACATAGAATCTGCCACTGTACCATCACTACTATTGGACTGCCAAATAAGAAACCAAACACACCTGAACACATATATTTACTGGCTTATAAGCACCTGAATGAAAGACAAAAGATAAAAGCCTGATAATAGTGGATAACTGAACCAATTCAGTGCTGAATTTAGCCATTCAGTCTTGAAAGATCCCACATTCAATTATCTTGGTGGAGTTATCTGATTTGAAGTGGAACAGAAATGACAGATTAACAATTGGCCAGCCTCCCGCTCCAGGTAGGAAAGTGGAAAAATTAATCAGCCATGGTTGGACTCAAAGCCAATTGTGGCAGTCACTGAGCCATTCTGCGGGTCACATCATTTCAGTGCCACTTTGTGGAGCAACCTAGGCGTCAGGTTCAACCCCCAATTATCCTTCCTCCCCCACATCCAGTCCCTCACCAGTACGGCTTTCTTCCACCTCCGACGCATTGCTCCTCTCCACCAATATCTCTCTCCGAAAGCCACTGAAACCCTGGTCCATGCCTTTGTCACCTCTCAGCGGAGCCCTCCTCGCCGGTCTCCCCTCCACTACCATCCATAAAATCCAGATTATACAAAACTCTGCTGGCCGCATTCTTACCCGCACCAAACTCCGTTCCCCGATTACCCCAGTCCTTGCCAGACTGCACTGGCTGCCTGTCCCAGAGAGGATCGACTTCAAGATCCTCACTCTTGTCTTCAAATCCCTCCACTCCTCTGCAACCCCCCGATCTCCTCTCTCCTCACAACAGTGCCCGTTGCCTTCGCTCCACTGGGTCTGGCCTCCTCCTTGTCCCCCGAGTCCTCCGCTCCACCCTCCGCAACCGTGCCTTCAGCCACTATGCCCTGAGGCTCTGGAACTCCCTTCCTCACTCCCTTGGCCTCACCCCCTCTTTTCCTATTTTCAGATCTCGGCTGAAGACTTTTCTTTTTGTCCGCGCCTTTGGTCACCTTCCTCCCCCTCCCCCTGGCTCGGCCCCGGGATCCGTTACTGTGAAGCTCTCTGAGACGCCGTCCGGCGTGGAGGGTGCTATATAAATCCAAGTTGTTGTTGTTGTTGTACTGGCCTTTGAAATTGATATAAGCAGGTAGTACGCAAACCATCACTGAAAGTAGGTTACTCCAATGCTGTGAGCTACACCACAGCAGATTACAGTCAAAGGGCCATAAAATGACTGCTTCACTCACCAATCGATCCTTTGGGACATGGCATGGCTGCTGGGAGTCCAAAGTTTGTCCTTGGCCACCAAATTCCGGCTTCAAAAGCTTTTGGACACACATTGTACTTCACTGAAAAAGATGTGACATAATATCAGAATAAATTCATACCCACAGAAATATCTACTGCCTGTCTTTAGATACCAGAGACTAAGACAACAAATTTTGATCTTAGTTCAGTATTAACTTAAGGATATACAATACTATTATCAAGTGTATTAAACAGAGCATTCAGACCATTTAAACAGATAATTACAACCTCCTCTAAGATTTTTTTCCTGATGCTTGGACAGTCATGGAAGGTTTTCAATAATATCAGATGGACTGTTCACAAGATTAATACATAAGCTGAAGGGGCTAAAATATGATGAGAGCTCGAAAGCCTGGGGTTATGCTTCTTAGAGCAAAGGAGGTTACGGGGTGACTTGATTCAGGTATTTAAATCATAAAATGAATTCACAGGTTAATAGTGGACAATTTTCTCTATGGTAGAAGTCTCTGTTACAAGGAGGTATAGTCTTAAAATCATTCCAGTTCTTCTATATATCTATGAATCCAGAACCACAATCAGACCTACCTTCACAGCCATTACTGGTGATTTCAGCAAACGGGTTGTCACAGCGGTTGCACTGTTGCCCTATCACACCAGGTTTACAGGTACATTGACCAGTTTCTTCATCGCACGTGCGGGCTTGAGAGCCAATAGGAAAACAATCACATGGGTAACAAGTGCCATTGTTCTGTGGCCTGTAATAGTTTGCCTGCAGGAGAAAAGTCAGCCCAATTTGAGACAACCTGTGTGGGAGACCTCAACATTGTCTCTATAAGGATAAGGGCTTTGAAAGGAATAAAATACCTTTCAAAATAATAATAATAATAATTTCCATTTCTCATAAATGGATTAAAGAGAACGGAAGTGCAGCAGGAACTGGCTTCAGTAACATTTTCTGATCAGACTTTGGAAGAGTAACTACATTCTCAGCAACTATGCCTGAACTCGCAATTTGTTGTGGTACAAGAGAACAGTCAGTTTCACAAGTGCAGAATAGAGCAATCTGACTGACAGCAGCTGGAACATCCTTTTTCTCTGTGTTGTAGGCAGAGTCTCTGCTGCAGAGAACAGTCACCAAACACAACTAGTGTCCAGTGTATTCACCTAAGTAACAGCTAGATGTTGTGGATGAGAGGACAATAGGGTGGGCATTCTGGAAGGATGAGATCAGATGGGCCAAAGGGCTTTTTTCATCCAAACCAATCTTGTGCTAACTGTGGGAGTGCTGTGTTGTGAGAACTCAGCAAGGACAGAAGATGTGAGAATTTTGCATGTCCCTGAAATATGTGAATTCATAGATATTCCAACAGATAAAGGGAACACATACACCCCCCCCACACACACACACACGCAGTCACACACCCACACACACACAGTCGGTCACACACATACACACACACACACACACAGTCGGTCACACACACACAGTCGGTCACACACACACACACACACAGTCGGTACATGTCAATAACCATTTTGTGAGAGTATCCTTTTCAAGGAACTCCAGGAAGCTTTTACATGTAATACTGAATTTCAGCTTCAGATGGGCCCCTTCACAAGGTTACCCACTGAGTTTTCTCTATTGCAGTATTAGCTTTGTGCAATGAACAAACTGGAGGATTATACGACTGCTGTGGTTAACTAACAAGCAGGACTTTGACTGCAGGGTAAGGGTGGCTGGTTTTAAACAAAGTCTATATGTTTGTAAATGATCTTGAAAGGGAGTGTTGTTACAGATTGGTAACATCACTCGGCAAGCTTTGGTCAGCACCAGTGACCATTTTGTCAACACCTTTGCTATCTAAACCTATACAAATTATTTCACAGCAAATCAGAAGAATCAACGAAAACTGATCCATCTCAATATATCCCAATAAACACTGCATGTGTGTGTGTGTGTGTGATATGGGAGGAAATGGCAACTAATTTGAGTACTTTGACATCGAGCCAGTCTTATTCTTAAAATACTTTAACAGTATATTCATTGGTTTGAAATGTTTTGACACAATTAGGTGCTATGAAAATGCAAGTTCTTTATTCTCAGAATATTAAGAACTGGAGAGCTGAGGACTATACAGAGCTGCCCAGTCTCACCTTGCACCTGCATTCCCCCGTGGTTTTGTTGCAGTCGGGGTCAAAGCCCTTGCTGATATCACAGTGACATGGACCACAGATGGGATTCCCCCACCAACCTCTTGGACACGGCTGGTCAATCCTGTGAGGAAGAAGAAACAGGATACATCTTTAACGGGGGCAGCAGTCAATACTGTAATTATCATCATCCTTGCATTTGATATATCGCTTTTCACGTCTTCTAGACGTCTCAAAACGCTTCACAGAATAGATTGTAAAGTGAATTGACTGTATATTTGTGGGCGAAACACGGCAGCCAATTGCGCACAGCAGTTTCCCACAAACAGTTGTGGACTGAAATGACCAATTTATTATTGTTTTTTTGAGAGATTATTATCAGGCGTGTAGAGTAAGGAAACTTGTCCAAGGTTTCACCCTACTGGGAATCGAACCTAGGTCTCTCGTTTGCAAAGCGAGTGCTCTAAGCACTGAGCTACAGGACTACCATAGAAACCATGGGAATAAAAGCTGAACCAACCAATGGAGATCAGCAGATCATTTCTAGCACTTCTACTGAAGCCACCTCAGTTTGTGTCTCTAACCATGAAATACATTTCCATCTTGATCAAATACACACCTTCCTACAGCATTCTAAGTAAGATGTTTATAGTTTTTCGAATACAAATGTAATACACAGAGCAAAATATTAGTTTAATATATCTTCCAACTCAGTAGGTGTTAGCTTAGTAGGTGGCACTCTCTGCAGCATCATGAATTCAAGACCCACATTGAGATTTGACCTTACATTCTAGGCTTATACACCAATGCAATATTCGGGGAAAGCTGCGTTGTCTTTCTCATGATATACTAAACTGAGCCTCTATTTGCCTGTTCAGTTGCCTATTCATTAAAGATCCCATGAGATTATTTAAAATGAGAAGGGACTTTCTCCCTGGCCAACAACCTTCCAGCTGAAATTTATAGTAGGCACAAATGAGTACTGTTTGCTTACAAGATGTCACTCTATTTGACATAATTATCCGTGACGTGCTTTGAGATGATTTGACACGATAAGGTGCTAGGAAAATGCAAGTTCTTTATTCTCAGAAATATTCATTCAACATCACATTACTCTGATGAGTAGCAATACTTTCAGAAACACAAGAACAATGGCCCTCCTGACAACTGGATCACTTGGGTCCTTCTTTATCATTTAAACTTCCAATCCACTTTTTTTTATTCAGCTGCATTTGAATCACAATCATGAGTAAAATACAGAGCTGTCCTAACGCTTAGAGACCTCCTAACACATCACTCATTCACCAACAAGCCGAATCCAGGAGGAAAAATAATGTGCTCCTACGCATAAAAAAACTGAGAAAGTAGCTACATTTCAATCTTACTTGTTTTCACAGTACTGGCCATAGTAGTTTTGTCCACAATCACACTTATATCCATGTGAGGAGCTTGGCTTATGGACACAGCTGGACACATGCTGGCATGGGTTCAGATTGAGGCTGCAGATGTCCACACAGTCTTTCCCAAAGAAACCTATTTCAAGGAGTGACAACAAAATCATTAGTTTTGGTAACACAGTTCAATTGAATTGAATTGCGCCAACCACCCTCACCCTCTGTTTCTAATTAACTCATATTCGAAGCAGATCCAATGAGGACAAACTCCACAAAAATCAGACTGTTATTGTGAAGAGAAGCAGAAATCATGGTTCCTCATTACACATTGGGCAGTGGGAAAATAGCAGTTATGAGGCCACCTGGAACACTGGTCTATGCACATTACCCCAAACATGCCACAGCCTCTCCAGCTCACTGAATTCAGGCTCCAATTCCAAAATTCCTCCCAACATTTGAAAGTTTCCTTTTCCTCTGTCCACAAGATGCTTTACCACCCTTTTGAGCAGTATAATTTGGTGAGTGCAGCTGTACAGACCTGCGCGTGGCAAGCTATTATGGGAGCTGCTGCATATTCTCAACTAGCCAGGGACAGTGTTATTGCAAACATAAGATCCCATTCCAGTCATCCACTGGCAAACCTAATGTTCACCTGGATTATCTTCAAATGCAAAGAGTTACCTGGCTTGCAGATGCAGGTGTAGCTGTCCCAGTCATTATTGCAGTTGCTGTTTGTGGGACATGGACTGAATTTACAAGGATCAGGGATCTCACAGCCACTGTCTACTCGAAGCTTCACAGCCTGATCCATGTTCAGTGTAGCAGTATTTGTTGATGTGTCACCCATTCTCAGGCCCTGTAGCAGACAGGAGGCAGGGTTGCTTTTAAATCATGAAGTACAGGCTACATCTATTCCAAGGTAAAAGTCCCTGCTTATACAGCATAAGAAGACAAGGACATTATAACTAAGAGCTGATAGCAAACCCAACAGATGCAACATTATCATCCAATGTGATCCAATTGTTCCAGTAACATGAGGACGGCTTTAATTACTCATCATTGCCATCAGAAAAACTCACCTCACCAAACCAAATGGAATAAGATGTTTAAACAGAAGGGGACCACAAAATAACCAGTCAAACACAAAGTGAACTCCATGGTTACCTCATGAGGTCAAGAGATAAGTCATATTTCCATCAATTCTACGTCTAATAAAAAAAAATCATTTGGGTCAAGGTAGATGAGAAATATATTTTGTTAGAAGTCGGGGGCTGTTACATTGCTATTCGCTTTAAGTCTTTTGTCAGTAAATGTACAGTGCATTTGATGGATGACTTTAAGAAATCTTGATATAAGCTCTAGATGAACACAACATACGCTGTTCCTATCAAATTCCGCCATTTTATATCCACAGCCTTAAAATCCAATCTTTCATTGACATCGCAATCTCAGGTGGAATACAACAAGTTTGTGTTCTGTGAGTCTGATCTTAAATTTAGTGCTTTCAAACACTCAAGGGGGGAAGGTTAACCCTTAATCCTTACTTCAACTCATTTTTTCGAGAATGAAAGTGCTAAATGCTGTAAAATACAAAACACAAAGCCGCGTAATCTCCAAAGTAGAAGGAAATACAAAGGATACAATTGGCAAATAAAACATAAGACTACAGTGATGCTAAAAAAAAGTCCCAGTGACTGGACTTGACATGGCTGCAAGTGATCCATGTTTGAGTCTCTGTGAACACCTGAAAACAATTTACATGAATTATTGCAAAAAAAAGTTGCTATCAGAAAGAAAATAACCAGATTCCATAACCAAACAATGGTGTACACAGCACTAGAGAAGAACTCTCCTGAATGCTTATTTGCTCCTTACCTGCATGCAACCATAAAAACCTTGACTTTTTGCATCTTTATCTTCAGGCAGACTTCCAACAAAGATGCTTTTTAGTTTTAAGCCTGGCAATTCGTTCCCGATTTCTATACTGTTCTGTAATGATATGGAATTCAAAGATAAATATCAGTAAACTGTCTTTGCAGAATCGCCAGAATGTACGGTCAACATAATGAAATGCTTCGTCCAGCAGGGCAACTGTAAGGTGGAGCAGAAATGAGCACATGGCAGCTTTAAGGGGCTCAAAGCCAGAATTGGCAACAGTAGCCTTGTACATGATGAGAGAGGATGCAGTTCTTGCACAGGACTGACACCAAGTTCAAACACCTGAACTCCGTCCCCTTTATTATGAAGGAAGCTACCCAGAAATGCTCAGAAATAGATTATAAAGATGGTCCACACCAACTCTGTTAACCTGACAGCAGTCTCACATTGGGCAACCAGAAGTTTCTATTCTCTTAGGAGTTCAAATCAGCCCCTGCAGAGCAGTATAAGGGCTTGTGTAGTGGCACTCTATGCCATGTTTTTGGCTGTGGATGGTCTACTAAACATTGAGGAGCATTCATTGGTGGTAGAAAATGTAATGGAACTTTTGAGCAGCTACACACCGCGGCTGTTTCGATGTGGTTGGTAATGTGTAATCTGCTCCAGGGTAAAATCCCAACAAGTCAAGATATTGCAGACCCTCGTCATTCAGCACACAAGAGATTCTGGAGACATTAGAAGCTAAAAGCTTTCAGAGTTCATACTATATTGGCAGCAAGTTGCTCAGTCTCACACCGCATCACATTGAGCACCATGGCTGGTTCCTCTCATCAGCCAATATCTACCCCACTTCACCAAACACTACAATTACTGTAGTACGGAAGTTTCAAGAGATAGTGAAAAAGAAAAGCTTGTTATCTATAAAAATATGAAACTCCATGAAATCAATCATTTTACTTCAAGTTCCATTCTGCTAAGGTTTGAACTTTCATCAACGTTGTCCCTGTTCTCTGGAACCCTCTTCTGAAATCCCTCCATGTTGCTCCCTTCCTCTCTGTTTTCAAAACCCATCGATAAAACCTTTCTCTTTGACTGCATTTTGACGCTCTCCTGTGTGAAAGACACTGTATTCTTTTGCGGTTGTAACTTACTTGGTACATTCCATAATCAAGAGACATCACCGCCATGTATTTGATGTCTTTGCCATCCTTCATACTTTTTATCTCAATCAATAAATGGTGCCAGTCTCCATCATTGACTCGTGACTGGGTCATCTTCAGTCTGGCTTTTAGTCCACGTCTGTTATACACTTCAAGCTGCAGGTTCCGATCAGTTATCTGCCAGGAGAAAGTGAGAGCTGAATTAGATCTGTCGAAGGTGCGTTCAAATGCAGGGAAACTGCACTCTCATCCTCCAGCTACTTTGCCATCCAATTGCTTTAATTGTTGCATATGCCAAAAAAAATCCTAAACCTGTCAAGTGAGCTTTCTTCATTACAATGGGAAGCATTCTCAACCTGAACGACAGGTTTACTCGTGGAAAAGAATTATTCCTCAGGAAAGATTACAGAATGAATATTATGGACTCTGTTGTTGGCCTCTCTATTAAACTATACCGAATGTATAATGGGGGCTTGAAAGTAAGCCCTCCAATAATGGAGAAGGAATGACAAGAGATTTGGGAGGAGAATCCCAGATAACACCACTTGTAGGAGAATATGTGATTGCCAATTCAAAATACTACATCAAAATATTGCACCCCTTCTCTTGGTGTCAGCTGAGAGCCACCTCCTTCCGTGTGCTCTCCTCGGTAAACAAATGATGACAAAACACAAACAGAACGAGTAAAATATAAAAACTGTTCTACTCCAGAATGAATAATCTGTTACTGCAGTAAACGTCTCTCCTTCTTGATTCGAATTCTGTGGTGGTCGTGGTCACATTTTCTAGGAGGCGATGTTTGAGAGTGGTCGCTCACCTGGATGTTAAGTTTGGAGGGTGTATTAGCACGTGCCTGCAGCAGGAGTCCATTGGCTCTTCTTGTGCGGAACATCAGCCCTATATACCAGGGTACCGAGATAGTGATGTCAAGATCATCCCAGGAGATCATACTGCTGCCCCTGAAACGCTGGGGATTGGGCATCGCTAAGGAGGCAATTACCAGGATATTCATTAGTATAAAGCCAATACAGCTCCTGTGCATGCACGCATCAACCTGGAAAAAAATCAGCAGAAGCTGAAGCCACCCCCCACCCCCAAAAAAATGAAAGCCTCCTGTACAGTATATAGGTCTAGAACATTTGAAAACAAATTACAAGTGGCTTTTTTTAATCAAATGTCGGAGGATAATACAAAGTGAACTTATGTATAATAATAATACTTGCATTTGCTATAGCGCCTTATCACCTCTTCGAGACGTCTCAAAATGCATCACAGAATACACTGTAAAGTGAATTGACTGTATATTTTGTGGGCGAAATGTGTCAGCCAATTGTGCACAGCAGTGTGCCACAAACAGTCATGGATTGAGTGACCAATTTATTATTTTTTTAAGGAATTATTATCCCCGATAAAGCAATCCACCAATCGACTAACAACTGGATTTCTACTTGCTGCTAGGTAAACAGATGTAAGCGGTGTAAGGAAACTAGATAACGTTTTGCCCTGCCAGGAATCAAACCCGTCTCTTGCTTGCGAGGCAAGTGCTCTAACCACTGAGCTACAGGACTCCAAATCTTAATTGATTAATTAATGAATAATTAATGGAGCTAAATGAGAACCAGCAATCACGTAAATAGTAACATGGATCAGGCTCACTTATATCATCATAAAAATTAATAAAATCAACACGTAGCTAGGAATAGTACCGTGGGCGATGGTACACAAAAGGATTTGTCCGATTTGGTCCATTTGGAGCAAATGTGAGAGAAGGTGTTGGATTTAATTAAATTCAAAGACAAAGTTTACAATGACTCGCAACCAACTTAACCCTGTATACACTAATTTGAATTCAGATCCACAGGTTGCAACATTATACACATAACATAATACATGGTATTATGTTTTGTGTATAAAATTCATTTTATAAAATTCATTTCTGATGGACTTTGTCTACTGGACTTTGTACGGTTTATAGTAAATTGATTGACGCAGTCTATAATGATCACTGATCCAGTCTATGATGATCACTAATTCAGTCTACAATGATCAATAAATAATCCTTTAATTTTATATTTTTTTACATCTGGAGGATGTCTCTATTGAAAAGATGATAAAACATGAACAACTTAAGATTTCATGCCTACCCAACAGGCAGCTGACTAGCAGCAAAACGTTTTGGTAAGCAGCTCTACTGAGCTCTGCAGAAGCCATTGCCCAGCCCAGCACAGAATGGCTTGTGGCCTGAAGCCCTTCCCCTTGTCCCCATACCCTTTAATAAAGGGGAAGAGACTAACGTTTGCTGAAGAGTGAAGGCAGTTATCAGTGAGTACACTCTCTTTTCAACAGAGCGCAAGCCCTGTGAATTGACTGCTATTGTAACCATACAAACATACACAAGCTTAAGTCAAAACACAGCAGAAGCTGTTGCTGCTTTAGGGGAGGACAGGTCACGAAGGACGAGCTACCCACCCCAGATCTGACAGTTGTGGGAGCCTTCCAAAAGAAAACAGCTCATCTTCTGAGTAGGACTTTGTAGAGTCTTGTAGTGTATTCATTAGAGCACTCGACTCACAAATGTGAATACCTGGGTTCAATTCCCGGGTAGGAAGAAACCTTAGGCGATTTTCCTTACTCCACACACTTCTGTTTACCTAGTAGTAAGTAAGAATCTTGTTGTTTGTCAATTGGCGGATCGCTTTCCAGGGGTAATAATCACTTTAAAATAAATAATCTGGCCACGCAATCTACGACTGTTTGTGAGACACTGCTATGTGTAATCGGCTGCCGCGATTGCCCACAAAAGATACAGTCAATTCACTCTACAGTATATCCTGTGAAGCACTTTGAGACGTCTCAATGATGTGATAAGGCGCTATATCAAATGCAAGGATTATTATTATAGAGGAAATATTTCATATTCAGCGATAGAGCAGTCCCCTGAGTCCTCCTAGAGACCAATTAAGCTTCTCCCAGCAGTGGTCATTCAAACAGTGGTTATGACTGACCAAAACACTTTAAACCTGTCAAAACGTGCTGCACTTCCCTTCCCGTCAGCCAAAACATCCAGTGCCAAATCTGTAAACACACTGTCTACCCACTCACAGGGAGCTCAACGGGAATGAAAAATTATTTCCGAAATGAAAAAATATTTTTTTTGATTCAGTCAGGGTCACTCAAAACTTTCAGGGGCCAAATATTAATTACAGCTGTCATTCTGCAAAGCAGATGGGATTTGTTAATGCTGTATATGTTCAGTCAGTGCACTCCAGCACCACTGACCTCCATTTAAATAATTTGCAGTTTGCCTCTTCAGTAACCAGCCATATCTAATACAATTAGCTGCAATGGTAAATAAAACACATACCATCTAATTATCAGATTACACTGTGTTACAGTCAGTCCTTTGAGATTTCATGCTTTTTGAAATGCAGAAGGAGGCATTGTACAGTTAAAGGGAATTCCATGCATTTATATGCCGAGAAGACTTTGTCGGCATAGACCTAATGTGAATGTCCACAGCGCTTAAACTGCTGGATAAAGGTTGGACTTTGGAACCTAGATGAATAAGTGTAAAGGAGTGAACTTCACATCATTGCACCACATTCCACACAGGACACAAATGTAAGATAATTACAAAAATAATGAATATGGAGGTTAGAACAAGTTCTTTACACAGGGGGTGGTTGGAATGTTGAATTCTCTACCACACTGAAGAGTCTGTAAATTGTTTTAACAAGAAATTAGATAGATGCCTAGAAAGGGTATGCGGAGCAAGCAAGAGAGTGGGATTGGACTGGATGCCTCATGTGAAGTAAAATACTAAACTTAGTGAGATTAATGGCTTGTTTTTATGCTGTATTATCCTAGGATTCTCTGAAAACCTGGATATGGAGCAGGTTAAATGCTGACTGGAGGAACAATGAACACAATGTTCATTGTGTATTCACAACCATGCCTGCACCAGCATAAAACCCACAACCAGCAAGATAAACGTTGAGCCAGCCTCCATTGTCCCTTCTTACTTGAGAATTCGGTCCCCCCTATCAGTAGAAGGTGCCTCTTGCCTTCCTATGCCTCTTAAAGTGTGCAATGTAACAACTTGAGCAACTGGACTTGTTGATGGGACTGAAGATGCACAAGTGAGTTGGGCAGCAGATCACAGCCAGTTGCGGAAGGGTAGTTAAACACAACAGAAAGCAGATGATTGAAAGTAAAAGGGAAAATCCTGATTAAGTCATACTATTTTTATATGAAACACAGTGGAGACTTTCAGAAATCCTAGCCTGGATTATGCAGCTCTCATTATTCACCTCTGACCCCCACCCTATTCTCATCAATGATCACATAACAACTATTACTAAGAATAAAAACAACTGTGATGCATAGAATTAACAGTGCTATTACTGTTTCAAGTTTCAATCAGTCTGTATCTTTTCATCGGTCACCAGAGCCTTTCATACAGGTACATCTATAACCACAACTTCATCAAGACTGAATTATTCGGCCACAAGACTTTAGAAATGCCAAGTCAGCAACCACATCCTCTGAAGCGACAATGGATTCTGTGCCTCAGCCTTCAGGCCCGAGTCCTGTCTCAAAACCCACTAATTAATCCAATAATCCAGCCTCTTCATTCACAAGCCACAGTTAAACTATAACTTGAAAAGAATCCTTTTCTTCAAATCAAAGTCCACGCTTTACCAAAAAATGCAGATGATATGGGAGTAAAAAAAATGTGTGCAGGAAATCATGCATTGAAATATTATAGCAACAATATGAAATAATTTTAGTTATTGAACTAACAGTAATGTTCATAATTTACAGATTACAACAGCAAGAATAATTGGTTAAAATTTTGAAAATTCAGATTTGTTTTGACATTTTACTTTTCATTGCCAGTACACTATAAATGTCCTCATAATAAGCAGGAATGAAGCATATTAGTTACCAATACTTAAAGTGTAAGGATAGAATGGGTTAGAGTCCTGTCACCTCTGAGACTGTGTTTTAACTCAGACTTTTGGGATTAATGTCCCATCTCACTGCTAGCTTCGTCAGATGAAGAGTCGTGGACCCGAAACGTTGACTCACTTTCCTTTCTCCATAGATGCTGCCTGACCTGCTGAGTTTTCCAGCTCTCTCTGTTTTGTTTCAGATTTCCAGCATCTGCAGTATTTGGTGTTTTATTGCTGTATGCAAATTGGCTTACAACATTTTGTACTGATGTAGTACAGCATGCTTTTGAGGTAGGGTTACTCTGCATCAAGCCGGGAATGTTTCTGACTTATTGCTGCTTAGCCAGCCTGGTGCTGACGCTGGATGGAAAAATACAAAGGTATTCTATCCCAAATGGACAAATTCTCCAAAATCCACACAAATTCAATGCAATATTGTCCTTCGGATGAAATGTCTGCCTGTTCAGGTGGATATTAAAGATCCCATGATGCTATTTGAAAAAGAGAAGGGAGTTTCTCCCGGTGTCCTAGCCAACAATTGGATAAAATTGGATATTCACAGCTGTTTGTGGGACACTGCTGTACATCAATTGGTTGCTAGTTCACCTACATTTTAGAGTAAATCCTGTGAAACGTTTTGAGACATCCTCCCAATGTGAAAGGTACCATATCAAATGCAAGGATTATTAAAATCACAGCACTTCCAGCCAATTAAAATCAGTCTTCCTCTATTTGGTACAGGAATTTGACCTTGGCACAAATTTAACATTTGCAATGTGTCTTTTTTGATAACCAATTTAACATGAAATAATTAGTGTTAAACCTAAGTTCTGACACGCAGAATTTATATCAAACTTTTGAAACAGCAACAAAATCGGCTTCCTTTGGAGGAAACGCTTCTCCATTAACATTCTCGGTCAGCTTCCTCCTGACATGTAAAGGAAATGACCGTGTGTGTGTGTCTGTGTGTTTCTCTCTCCCTTTGTAATCATGAGACGAGCAGCCTAACACTTTGTTTGAAGCACTGTGAAAAACATCAGTTTGGATGAGAGTCAAATTGTGGCCTCTACTCTCTGCTGTGTGTTCCTCTGGCAGCATCCAGCACGATTGCCAGGAACTTCATTTAACACACAAATAGGGAGGATGCTCAATTTTGAAGAATAAATAAATAAAACCAGTGTTCGTAGAGTTCGGCTGTTCATTTCATAATTCCAAAGCCAGAGTTTATTTATTTAGCAGAGTTGTATTTCACTAAATAGAATACAGGTGTATTGTGTAGCTCGTGTACACTGGGTTTAACTAATAGGAAAGTAGAAACTAATCAAGGTGGCTCATAAATTCTTCCCAAACCTATTCTGGTTATTAAGATCAAAGCACTGTGCAACAGTTTTACGTTGAAACCTTTAGATATCAGCCTGGCTCAGTTGGTAGCACTCTCACCTCTTGAGTCTTCAGAACTTTAGCCACTATGCCCCAAAACTTAGTCACTTCCCCACCCCCTCTCCCCCTGGCTCATTGTCAAGACTCCACCACTGTCAAGCGCTCTGGGACGCTACCTCGTGTGAAGGGCAAGTTATTGGTGTTAAGTCAGAAAATGTAGGTTCAAGCTCATTGGTGGGCCTTTGAACTCATGGTCTGGGCTAATGTTTCAGTGTTGGTGGGGGGTGGGACTCTACATTGTCAGAGGTGCTGTCCTTTGGATAAGACAATAAATCAAGGTTCTGTCTGCCTGTTCGGATGGACATTAAAGATCCTGTTGCTCTACTCGAAAAGAGAAAAGTTTCTCCCAGTGTCCTAGGTCCCTCAGAGGCAATTGACCGCATGTGCCTACAAAATATGCAGTCATTATACTTTCCAGTAAATCCTATGAAGCGCTTTAAGACATCCTCTAGATGTGAAAGGTATATCAATACAAGGATTATTGTTTAGTTTTAGGAGTGATATTCCATCAAAATCCAACTATACCATATAGTAAAAGTTGTAACAAGCAAAATGTGTAGTGACAAGCAAAATGTCACCTTTCTTGTTTTATAGAATGAAATCCAATTGCAGGACTGGAATGCAATAGAAGTAAGTCATTCATTTTGAAGTGAAGATATAACCCATTTACCTCCCAATTGCCTGCGCCCCAATTATGCGCTATAAGCACTTTGTTATGTGCATCCTATGGGAATACACTCTAAAACTGCAAATTGCTGCTATAATCTAGAAGGTCAATTATCTGGAAAATATCAAAATTATCATTAGAAGGCTGAGAAGCAGAGGTGTAGATGACGAGAACTTGGGAAGCAGAGGTGAAAGAAAGATCTTGAATTTTTTGGCACTTTACCACGTCAAAAAATTCTGAAACGTAATTGCTCTTTTGAAAGCAAAATGCTTGCCACTTTGCTATTTCGAAAGGTCCACAGCAGCTGTGAAGCAATGCATCTGGGGGATTGTTGGTCAGACACCAGGAGCGGGGAGATCCTCCCTTCTCTTTTCCTGCAGTGTTTTAGGATCTTTAATGTCTACCTGAACAGACAGCAAGGAACTTAAATTCATGCAATGCAATCAATCACTTCATTTTCACACTTGGGAGGGACTAGCCATGTCAAGTGAGCTAAAATGTGAGAGATTTGTGTATCCCTGATGATAATAATAATAATCCTTGCATTTAATATAACGCCTTATCAAGTTTTCGAGACCTCTCAAAGCACTTCACAGAATATAATGTAAAGCGAGTTATTTTGTGGGATTATTGAGGGAACTTACCTTGTTCACAGTTCTTACCCCCAAACTCTATGGGGCACTGGCAAGTGTACGTGTTCCACTTGTTCACACATGTCCCTCCGTTCAGACACTCATTCATCTGGCAGAAGTTTCTTTTAGTAGTACATCCTGCATCCAAAGAATGAAGAGGTTAATGGAATCATCAGAACCATTAAACATTTCGTTCTGCAAGCAGAAATACCTAAGGTACTTTCAAAGCTCCAACAGCTTATTACAGTCTACATTTGATCAATTGTGCTAATTTTCAAAGAGGAAAGTTATGTTCAAAATACTATTCATGAAGGATAGGGAGATGCCTTCTGTAAGGTCTGACACATATTCAACAACAATATTATCAGCCACCTGAAAAAAATCAATTATTTAACAATAAAAGCTTAATTTAGGGGAGAATTAAATGAGATTGTTCTGAGTGAGCAGGAACCATTAGAGGGAAGAGTTGTACCAGTCTTTGTGTTTATATATAACCTACTCAGCCCACGTCAAGGAAATTCCATGGGTTTCCTTTTAAAATCCGACATTACAGTAGTTTCCTGTTTTGCTATTCTAACACTTTCTGAAAGGTTCAGAGGTGATGCTAAACTCTATTTTACTATACTCACACTCTTAGCTGCAAATCAAAGCCCTTATACACCTTCACACCCAATCAAAGCCTGCCAATGCCTTCATTATATAGAAAGCAATGGAAACAGTCTATTCGGCCCAATTACTATACCAGTATTTATACTCCACATGAGCCTCCACCCTTCCTAATCCCCTCTCCTACCTCCTTTTCTCTTGTATATGCATCAATACAATACAAAATTATATTTGTATAGTGCCTTTCACATCGGTAGGACATCCCAAGGCACTGGACAGTTAGGGATTTGGACCCGAGCGGTGGGGGTGGGAATTGGGGTAAGGGAGGGTGGAGGGCAGGGAGGGTGGCCAAAGGCACGGTCAAAGAGGAGGGTCTTGAGACGTGCCTTGAAGAAGGCAAGGGAGGGACTGTGAGATGGAGTTCCAAGGGTGGGGGCGGAGAGGCTGAAGATCTGACCACCAATGGTGGGGTGAGCCAGGTGGAGCACGTGGAGCAGCACACAGCCTGCTGAGCAGAGGGAGCGGACAGGTTGATATTGGATCAGCAGTTTGCAGAGGTAGGGAGGGGCAAAGTCGTGGAGGGCCTTGAAGGCGAGGTCTAGGGAGCCAGCTGAGGGTGAGGATGATGGGATCACAGAGCCTGGTGAGGGAGAGGACATGAGTTGCAGAGATCTGGATGATCTGCAGTTTATGGAGGGAAGAGTTGGGAAGCTGACAAGCAGGAAGTTTCCTCTTAAATATGTACAGCCATTCAAAGACATTAAATGCCTTCACCATCCCCAAGTCTTGATTATTTTACGATTGTGAACAATGTATTTAAATAATAAAAAGTACAATCCATGTACTCAAAAATATGAACAAGCAAAATCCTTGGGAGATGGTATAGGATAATATGCTGAATTCTGAATTTTAGAGCACAAACTTGGACTGCTGCTGAACAGGTTTAACAGCATGATTTACAACCCATCAAAATTTATAAAATTGTGCCCTTATATACAGGCACACACCCATGATTAATGACCTTACATTCTAACATAAACATTTTCTCATAGCATAAAAATATTGCTTACTGAGAAATAGGTGCCTGCCTAGGGAAATTTAATGGGTAAACTAGATGGACCGAAGCATTTATTTCCATCTGCTATGGTGACTATGGGAGACCCGTATACTATAGAATCATAGAATTATATAGCACAGGTGGAGGCCATTCATGTCTGTGCCGGCTCTTTGAAAACAGCTATCCAAATCAATCTCACACCCCCGCTCTCTCCCCATAGCCCTGAAAACTTCCCCTCCCCAAATAATTATCTACTTCTCTCTTAAAAGTTGTTATCGAATTGGCTTCCCCCACCCTTTCAGGCAATGAATTCCAGATCCGAATAACTTGCTGTGTGAAAACATTTCTCACCTCCTCTCTGTTTCTTTTAACAACTATTTAAAATCATTGTCAATCGACCCACCTGCCAGTGGAAATAGTTTTCCTTGTTCAATTGAATCCCTACATAATTTTGAAAACTTCTATTAAGTCTCCTCTTAATCTTCTCTGCTCCAAGGAGAATAATCCTAGCTTCGCTAGCCTCTCATGATAACTGAAGTTCCTCATTCCTGGTACCATCCTGGTAAATCTCCTTTGCATCCTCGCATTTATCTCCTTGACATCCTTTCAAAAGTGAGGTGCCCAGAACTGAACACAAAACTCTAGCTGAGGCCTAACCAGTGTTTTATAAAGGTTCATCATAATTTCCTGACTTTTCTATTCTATGCCCCTATTCATAAAGTCTAGAATCCCATATTGTTTTTCAACAGCTTTATCTACCTGTCCTGCCGCCTTCAAAGATTTACTTGTATGAAGTATAAATAAATATACTTTTTTTACGGTTCCTTCACCCCCTTTAAGATTGTACCATCAGCTTATATTGCCTCTCCTCATTCTTCCTCCCAAAATGCATCACTTTGCATTTCTCCACATTAAACTTCATCTGCCACCTGTCTGCCCATTTTACCAGTCTGTCTATGTCGTCTTGCAGTCTGCTACTATCCTCCTCACTGTTTACTACTTTACCTGGTTTAGTATAATCTGCAAACTTGGAAATTGTACTCCCTGCACCCAAGTCCAAGTCCTTTATGTAGATCAAAAACAGCAGTGGTCCCAATACTGACCCCTGGGGGACACCACTGCACACTTCCCTCCAGTCAGAAAAACAACTGTTCACCACTCTCTGCTTTCTGTCTCCCAGCCAGTTCTGTATCCATGCTGCCACTGTCCCTTTAGTACCGTGGGCTTCTATCTTGCTTACAAGTCTCTTATGTGGAACTTTATCAAACGCGTTTTGAAAATCCATATAAACTACATCAACTCCATCCACTCCTCTCGGATTATTCTTATCCTATCCAATTTCTCTACCTTCTCCTTCGATACTGTGGCATTGGCTGCATCCTCTTCTTTTCTGAAGACAGATGCGAAGTACTAATTCAGTACGTCAGCCATGAACTCTGCCTCCACAAGAAGATTTCCTCTTTGGTCTCTAATTGGACCCTTTGACTAATCTTTTATTCTTTATATGCTTAAAAAATACCTTTGGGTTCCCTTTTATGTTACCAGCTAATCTTTTCTCATACAATCTCTTTGCCCCTCTTATTTCCATTTTCAGTTCTCCTCTGTACTTTCTAGATCCTATTTGATTATCTTTTGTATTTTGGACTTGACTTTTAAAATAAGCCTCATTTTTCTGTTTTATTTAATCCCAATTTCCTTATTCATCCAGGGAGGTTTGGATGCCCTACCTTTCCTCTTTGTGTCAATGTATTGGTTCTGTCCCTGAACTATCTCCTCCTTGAAGGCTTCCCATTGCTCATTAGCTGTTTTATCAGCCAATATTTCTTTCCAGTCCACCTTGGCTGGGTCCCTTTTTAACTCACTGAAATTAGCGCTCTTTCCAGTTGAGTATCTTCACCTTTGATTGTTCCTTGTCCCTTTCCATAAGTACTCTAAACCTATTGATGTTGTGATCACTGTTGTCCAGATGCTCTCCTGTTGAAACCTGCTCCACTTGCCCCACTTCATTCCCCAGAACTAGATCCAGCACTGCTTCCTTCCTCGTTAGGCTGAAAACATCCTGATCTAGAAAGTTATTCTGCACACATTTCAGGAATCCTTCCCCCTCCTTGCCCTTTACACTGTTATTTTGCCAGTTTATGTTAGGTTAATTGAAGTCCCCCATTATCACTACTCTTCTGAAATCTGCTTGCAGTTTGCTCGTCTATCTCCTTCCCACTATTTGGTGTTCTGTAGTGTATACTTTACAGAGTAACAGCTCCTTTTCTGCTCCTTAACTCTAACCAAATAGATTCTGTTTTTGGACCGATTAGCCCTTTCCAGGGCCGTAACCGTGTCTTTGATCAATATTGGATGTTCCCCTTCCCCCTGTGGGATGTTTTGCACTCGTTCCATGGCACCAGAGTCGCGTTTTTGTTTGCAGAAACGTCTATCTACTCCTTTCACCATTTGTGTCCCCAATGACAATTACATTAACACTCTTCCCTATGTTCCCCTGTGCATCCATTTGCTTTTGACTTCCCTCCCCAGAGGTGTCATCACCCTCACCCTATTCAGTACAGATTTGTTTACCTCCCTTTTCTCTGCATTGTTGAATACTTCTGCTTCCTCCCTGAACAACTCAATCGATTATGCTATGGCCAACTGATCAGTGCAATCCACACAGTTACAACTCGACTTACCAGCTACTGTGCCATTATTGGCTATAAAACTAGCCATGTCAAGCTGCTTATCGTCGATCGTGAAATTTCTCATACATCCCACAAATTCACGATTGCGAACAGGGAAATCTTCAGGCAGGTTTGGGACACCTCCAAGTAGCAAAGGACCAGTCAGATCCAGCGACCTGAAAAAGGTAAAGGGATAAGTAACCGTCGAGCCCCAGCCCTTCAGGATCAGACTTCATAATAATAATAATAATCCTTGCATTTGATATAGCGCTTTTCACGTCGGGAGGATGTCCTAAAGCGCTTCACAGAATATACTGTAAAGTGAATTGACTGTATATTTGTGGGCGAACGCGGCAGCCAATTGCGCACAGCAATGTCCTACAAACAGTCGTAGATTGAAAATGGCCAATTTTTATTATTGTTTTTGGTTTTGGAGGGATTATTATTAGGTGTGTGGAGTAAGGAAACTTGCCCAAGGTTTCGCCCTCTGCCTGGAATTGAACTCAGGTTTCTCGCTTGCAAAGCGAGTGCTCTAACCACTGAGCTACAGGACTCCACATATAATATGTATTATCGTATACAGAAATTTTTGCATGTAAAAATTGTTACGGAGATTGTGAATGGCTACAGAATACAACAAGAACAACAAAATTACATTTATAGAGCGCCTTTCACATTGGGAGGACATCCCAAAGCGCTGAACAGTCAGATGTCGGGGCCCGAGCATGGGGAGGGGTGGTGTAGGGGTGAGGGAAGGCAGAGAGGTGGGAGGAAGACCAAAGGCGCAGTCCAAGAGAAGGGTCTTGAGACCGGCTTTGAAGAATGCAAGGGAGGAAGTGAGGCGAAGGGACCACAAAATAAATCATTGCAAATTAATTTACCACTTACAAATGTTGTTGATAGGTCTCAAAATGTTTTACAAGATTTTACTCTGAGGTGAAGTGACTACTTGTAGTATTTGTTGGTAAATGTGGCAGCCAATTTGCACACAGCAATGTCTCACAAAAAAGCCTTGAAGTGAATAACCAGTTTTATCTTGGGAATTGTTATTTTTAAATAAATGAAAGATACTACCGAAACCAGAGCTACAAAAGTTGACAAATAAGTATTTCTTTTGTGCAACAGTCAGTATTTACTGAGTTTGTGGAGGCAGGGTGTGGTGTGGGACAGTGGGTTGGAGCTTCCTCACACGAGCTGGATAAGGATCAGAGACAGTACCAGTCAGGGACAGCATTGCACATCTTTCAGTCATTAGTTACATTGGGACACAAGCAGGACTATGGAAAACGAAAGCGAGGTGGAAAAATATCCTGACAAATAAAAACATTTTATTACATTAAACTTCAGCAGATACAGTGTGTCAAAATACTTTTGTGAACAAATTGTGTTATTTTTTGTATTCATTTTAAGTAAAAAGAACTTCTAGAGTTATGAAATTCTATTTATGGCGAATTGCAAATTAAAAATCTAGCCTTACTTCTTTGATCCAGTCTGAGTTCCCTGGGCAGCACATGAATAGTTTCCAATTTGGTTTCCAAAGCGTATGGACACTGCGGTGTCACAATCATCAACAGTAACTACAGCGACTTTCTCCCCAGAAGGTCCGTGAGGAATACCTAATCTGCCAATATTTGGCTGAGTGAAAGAAGAAATGAATTTATTTAGATAGACAGTAATACTGATCCAGTTATTCTCCCGAGCTTCCCTGCGCCCCCTCCGAGCTTGTCAATCTCCTCTCTCTCAAACCTCCTCGACATCCCCCCAAACGAGTCCCCTACTGGTTTGTGTTCTTCATAACAGAAATATCACAAAATTGATCGTTATACGATTCAGCAACAGTATTACTATTCCATCCTGTTACTCTTCACATTATTTTATGGGAAAGATCTTAATGTTTCTCCATGTGATGTACATAAATGCCACAAATCCAGGTTCAGCCACAGTTCCAATGTCATGGTACAAGATTTCTGTGGACTTGTGTGTTAAAGTGACAGGCTTGCTAGATCTGACTTTGAATGTACTTTAGCTTTTATACGCACGTGTTCTATGCTACCCCATCTACAAGTCACCAATCGCAAGTTTGTTTGTAAGTGCAATTGTGAAATTCTCTTCTTCTAAAACAAAAGGGTGGGGGCCACAGCCCTGAAGTACAGTGCAGCTGGTGTTTTACTTTCCGATATTTTGTCAGACTTTTTAGAGCTTTTCACAAGAACACAAGGTTGGTTAGGATGAAGAAAACCCTTTGGACACCCAATACCATCTTTCCAGGATACCCTTTTCTCAACCAAGGAAAGAAAAAAAATATTTTTATGGGTTCTTCCCCCACCCTGCATCCACAACCCCATCAGACCAGTGCCTGCACTATGTTAACAACAGTAAAACAATACCATGAAACATCCCATTGTGCTCAAAATATTATTGTCTTCTCATTATCACATATTTTTTCAGTTGTCTAGTACCACTATCCTGTGCAGTGAGGAATGCCCAGGAGGCGCATCACATTGTTCTAATATTACCATCAAAAGACCATATTTGGAAACCAGCTATCACTTTGACACATGCTGGTGTTGATAGCTGAAACCTGATAGTCCTTACACCCTGAGCAGCCTTCAGAACGATCACCTGTTAGATCTTCCAATTCACTGCACCACTCATTATTTACAAGAGCAGAATTGTTTTGTATAAAAGCAGAAGTAAGCCTGGAATAATGGTGACATACGCCATGTAGCCAGTTTTAACACCATCCTTTTATTTTGGGTGTTAAGGGTTCAAAGTAAAAGGAAGCCTTAAGACTTGGTTTTAAGTGAACCTGAGTTGGCAGCACAGAACTACTAGAATATGGAGCAGCTGGTATAAATTCATGTCAATATCATTTCAGTGAGACTCCAGACAGAGATACTATGCCTAAAATCCCAAATCATAGAGTTATATGAGGAAGTTTGCATATAATAATAATAATAATCCTTGTATTTGATATAGCGCTTTTCACGTCGGGAGGACGTCCCAAAGCGCTTCACAGAACACACTGTAAAGTGAATTGACTATATATTTGTGGGCGAACGCGGCAGCCAATTGTGCACAGCAATGTCCCACAAACAGTCGTAGATTGAGAATGACCAATTTATTATTGTTTTTGGTTTTGGAGGGATTATTATTAGGCGTGTGGAGTAAGGAAACTTGCCCAAGGTTTCGCCCTGCCTGGAATTGAACTCAGGTCTCTCACTTGCAAAGCGAGTGCTCTAACCACTGAGCTACAGGACTCCATATGTAGTTATGTTTATGTCATGATTGGAGGGGATGTAGGAGGAGACATCGAAAGCATTGTGTTATTTCTCATATTCATCCCAACTCTGGACCATTCTGGATAGTGCTTACTGGGAAAAGAGGAAAGTACAGCACTCCCTTCCTTGATGAGCACAACCCGGCCTTTCAAAGCACAAGTTACAAAGAAATTGTATCTGAGCTGCTTGTTCCACCATCAACTTGCTTCAGTTATTTGTCAGCAATCAAGTGCTTCGTTAATCCTTGTAGAGCTGAAATGAATGGAAGCCTTGCTTCCATACCAGAGTGAAATAAGAATTCCACACACTGAGCTTCAAAGAGTCACTGAGCAATCAAGCATCTTCAGGGACTCTATTTCAAGGGTTAATTACCTTATCTATCTTGCTCTTTAGTGCTGGGAAACCGTGGTAACAGTAAGAAGCATCCGGAAACTTTCTTTCACTAAAACTGCACAGAACTCAAGTTATTTAGGAATTTCTCTGCAGACTGCTTAGAAGCAACATTCTTTCCTGTTAAGTTCTGCGGCAGAACCCCGCTATAAGATAACCCCCCTTATAACACTGCTTCGCTTAAAAGCTAGGGTCTCTATGGATCCACAGTTGTTCTGGCTTCCTGCACACTATACCTTTGCTAACGTCTGAGTCATTGGTCAATGCCGACATCATTCCCTGTAAGCTGTGCATGGGCAGTGCATGGGAAGCTTTTCAAACAACAAAAAGGCTGACTTCCAAGTCAACAGGTTGATGCTGACATCACTTCCTAATTATTTTATGAAATAATAATAATCAAAGTAATCCTTACATTTGATATAGCGCTTTTCACGTGTCGGGAAGCCATCCCAAAGTTCTTCACAAGATATACTGTAAAGTATCACCCACATAACTCAGTCACTACATTTTACAGTGTATCATGTGAAGCGCTTTGAGATGTCTCAACAACGTGAGAAGGCACTGTATCAAATGCAAGGAATATATATGTGTGTATTGCAGTGACTTACAGTAAAGTACATGTGTTTTGTGAGTGCATGATGCAGGAAGTGATGTTGACAATGATCTAATAATAATAATCTGATCTCTGAAAGTCAGACATTTTGTAGTGCAGGAAGCCAGATGACGTTTAGTGCACATGCACCAATGGCGACTGCTGATCGCTCCCTCTTATAAGGCGAGTTGGAATTTTATGGACCCACCTTGCAATCGGATTCTACTGTATTTCACACATTGTGGAGACATGATAAGGCTCAATTTCAAATTACATTGTCCCTACAGCTGCGTATGCACTAGCTTTACAAACTTTTGTAATATACTCATTATTCAGCTCTGGAAACACATCTTACTTTTTTAAATATTAAAAAAAATTAGAGGAAATTAGCTCATCAACCATCCCATGATCTACTGGGAAAATTAAACATTATTAAGACGTTACCTGCACTGTAAAATCTCCTCTCATGTAGGTAATCAACTGAAAAACATCAAGTAATAACTATGTTTCAGGATTTTTTTCCCCCTGACCTAAGAACACAACACTAATAAATCTTCAGGCAGGTAGTAGAGTGAATTTGTGCTGAAACCACAAATTGTATTGAGGACTGGATGGTTTGAGGCAATGTAATAAAATTCTAGTTATGTACTTGACATTGATTCCACTCCTTTGACTTTCCCACAAGTTCAGTGCTGCTTGTGCTGCAGTGTGTTGAATGAGGTGTGGTCAGTTCTACTTATAAAAACAGGACTGTACATGGCCTGTGTGCTGTTGTGACAATTACAAGATTGGTTCATATGACAAAAGCCCTTTAGCTCATTTGATCTCATGCTTTCAGAAACACCAGCTACTTTGTAAATATGTCTTTGCAAGTTAAGCAAAACAATAAAGAGTTGCTCTGGAATGTTAATTGTTTCCAGCCCATTAAAAAAAGTAATAAATACCATTTTTTTCACTTCCATTTACAAAGTCTGGATATTGTATGTTCATTCCAATACCTCTAAATTTCAACATACCCGCTGTCACCTTAAAAGCATTCAGCTTTTGAACTTGCTTACATATTCTCTGCTGGATAGACAATAATCCTATGAGTCACTCGAACACCCAAGTTAATTAAAAATTGAAGTGCATTGTTGATGGCACCTCCTCGGCACATTCTGAAAAGAGCATAATGCTAGTTGTAAGATGAGTTGTTTCACAATCTTTGTATCACTCTGATGGGCTTCCTGCTTGCTGACCTCTCCCCAGGTAGTGCACTGTGCTAATTATAATAGAAGAGGATCTTTTCCACATAATCAGAATGTTTTCAGGAATCTTCCTTAGTTCACTTGCAATTCCCCCTCCCCTCTGCACTGCTCACACAAACACATTGAAAAGCAACAGGGAATGCCATCGATGACTGGACACTTTGTAAAAGAATAATCAGGCACTACAATTTGGCAGCTCCACTCACACGCCTCCAGTGACCGGAGAAGCTGGCAGTCTTAAGCAACTGGCCACTTAACTGCTGCTTCAAGTGAACTAAGGGGGCGATAGGGCAAGTCAGGAAGAAAACTGTGGGGGGAGGAAACAGTGACACTTGCTTGGCACATAGAATAAACAAATCTCTTATAAAAGATCCCTACCACAGACCAGATCTGTGGACAGCTGTGTGGAAAGACACTCATTCTGACATTCTGATAAAATAGTGTACAGTCCCTTTAGTGACAAGATTGCTGAGGGTCAACAAGAAGCACACAGGAAAGCTGCTAGTGTCCACGATACAGCTGGGCTTCCATTCTCCCTGATATATCATTGTGAGGAGAATGTGGTGTTCACGGAGACAGACTCATACATGCTCATATGGCCAGATCAGAGGCCTGCCAGCTCAGCCACAGGGGTATATAGTTTCAGGATACCAAGAGAGAAATAATACGTGGGGCAAGTGGGACGTGGGACGGGTTAACAAGAAAGAGGGAAGAGAAGACATTCATATTATGAAAAGCACAATTACAAATAGGTTTGGATTTCATATTCGCTGTCTGAACAGGCATTACAAACAATTGATTTCAACATTGGCTTTAGAGAATATCCAATTACCAGAAGTTTTTTAAGAAAAGACAGCGAGGGACATTAAACTACAATGACTGCAGCAGAGAAGTGATTAAGTAATAAGGTCAGTGTGTGTTCGGCATAAAGACCCTATTGTGTCAAAATTCAGACATTGCAGAAAAATGTGAAATATTAATTCAGTCAGAGATGATGTTTGTGCAAAGGGAGCATGTATTGGCGTAGCAAATGTAAGTTACTTCTGGACTTATATAGAAGGGTCTCCTAACAGTTTCCAGACTATTGCAGGCCTTCAGCCTTTCAGGAAATGAGATGGCACCATT